CAACTCACAACAGTGAAGCAACTCACAACAGTGAAGCAACTCACAACAGTGAAGCAACTCACAACAGTGAAGCAACTCATAACAGTGAAGATCATTCACATGGTCGCGCGTCGTGCCGCGTGCCGCGTGCCGCGAGAGGCGTGAATCTGCCAACTGCCTCGCTTCGCGTCCTCCCTGCGATCTAGAACCGCAAGGCTGTGTCGACGAAACAAAGGACCGTGTTTGGTCGTGAATCGCAGCAGCTGGATCAGGCATTCAATGGCATTTTCTTTATTCCAAGCTACCTTCTTTATCCAAGCTGCCTTCTTTGTTCCATACTGCCTTTGTTAGACAATCATGTTTTGTCTTTCTATTTCTTTCAGCCTGGCAGTGGTGATTCTCGGGGCTTTGTTCGAGTCTGTTTCAAGTCAACCACTGCCTTTGATGTTCTTTGAACTACACACACTGCCTTGGACGATCACCCACATGAAAACTTCTATAAGAATGTCGGTTTCTCTGTCAGATTTTACATCTCTTCATCCCAAGCATCAACATTCGCAAGCCAGTCTTTCGAGAGAATTGTCAGGAAGTAATCGTCTCAACAGAAACCTCCACATCCTGCTTTTTTCTTCGAGCTGGCACTCGTCTTCAATCTTCCTACAAACAGTCGCAATCATGTGTAACTGCAGCGTGCTCACCACTGAGTCTCTTTGCATGAATTGTCACCAGTCTAGCCGACGCACCGTGGTCAAGAGCAGCATGTTTCGAGAGAACCCCGGGCGGGCCGTGGCCTTGGACAAGACCTGCAAGGACCATCACATGCTGCGACTTCCCACCACCAAGGAGCGTTCTGTCAAGTATGTTGATGATCCAAGCTGCAAGGTATGTCGTTCTTCCCGTCGAACTACCTTTGACGAGAAGACTGCAGTTGCACTAAGAGACTCCAGGGCTCCTAAGGCCAACACACGTCAAGACTACATGGACCTACCGGTGCGGCCTCACAATGAAGGGTCTCGTAGAGCTTCACAAGCTCAGAGTCTAGCTGTTGCCAAAGTCGACCGCTCTGGTACGGTACACGGTCGGACCTCCAAGTCTCACACAGCTTCTTCGGTCGCACACAACCCAGAGCGTTCCCGTCGATATGAAGTTGACCACTCGCCACGTGACGGAGGCCAGAAGTACCGTGAAGAGCGTACTCGAGTGCAGTATCAGGTCACACATGAGGAGGGCGGTACCCGACAATCCGTCACCGTCGGCTGCGAATACAGTGTTGTTACCAAAGTCCCGCCTGAGGCCCCGCGTGTCTCACGACAAGTTGCCCGGAGCCGGTATGAGCACTGACAAGGCGTAGGAGGGAGACCTGAAGACCTGAAGGGTGTTGGGTGGTGAGGTGATTGGGATCGGGGGTGGTGCTGCAGGTAGGTGCTATCGATGCTTCGTAGGCTGGCCGACGATGCAACGATGGAGTAATGGGGCAGCAGTGGTGGTGGTGAGAAAAAAAAAGAAGAAAAAAAGGGTAGTGTTCTTTGAGTACTTAAGTATACATAAGAAATAGCCACTGAAAAAAAACAAAGGTTATGAACCCGTATTTGGCCTCCTACCTCACGTAACCCTGTGGTTTTGTCGTCGTAATGTCACTGTGTTTTTTAATATACGGAGGCTCCGCTTGCCTTCGTACTGGATGTGGAAACGGAAGTCATAAATGATTGAATTCGTGACGATGTGAGCCACGGTACCTCATGGGGCGGCCAATGCTCTCATGGCCGGTCGGTCGTCGGCAGCCCATGCTATCGTGTTCTGCTCTATTTCCACTCTATTTCCACCTTTTCCATTGTTTCCAATGGCGTTGTTGGCTTTGAGTTTTATAGTCAACCACTGTGGTCCGAAGGAACGTGGGTTGTAGATGTTAGTGGCACCTGACGGCCTCCCTCGTCTGTCTGTTTGCTTGATCAGTAGCTGACTGAGGGCTTTCACAAACCTCTGTAGAGATGTCCTCGAGCCATTTCTGAATCTTGGCCCGATCAAATACCTCCCAATCACCAGGGTCAGAAGCGTCGGAAGCATCCGACTCGAAATCTGATGTCTCTCGATGTATCCATGGATGCATGTGGAGTTTGCGAGTTTCAAAATCGCCATCCATTTCAAGCCATATACCACCTTCTTCTATCTCTTTATGCCAATTGAAAATGTTCCGCGTAGCATTCTCCGAAGCATAATCACCATCGTCAAGAAACCTGAATCGACTTAGCCACCGAGTTAGGATGAAAAACATTCGACTTACTCAGCTCGGAAGAGCGTAGGCTTTACTAAGGGTAGATCCCAGTAGTCTTGCAGCCTGGCGCTCCGCCGTAGATGTGGAAGAGACTGTGCAAGAATATCTTCGCTCTCCTCCGTAACCCAGAACAGTTTGTAACTCTGAAGATGGTGATCGTGACCCAGATGGGTTCTCACATCCAGACTGAGATTTCTCTCCCTCGCATATCCAAACGGGGGACAGGGAGTGTTCGGCGGGGGTGCCAGTGGGTTCACCAAATATGTCATGCGATATTCGTTAGCTCGTGGGATCAACCCTGCCGGTCCGCTGGAAATATAGTCGTACTGAATAAATGACTGCGGGATCCCAGTCCAAGTGGAAACCGGGAGGCTAACCGATGAATAGCCCAGAACAGCATCGCTGAAGATGTGCTCGGCGTAACCACACCAGAGAGCAGCCGACCAGAGTGGCGCTATGGTAGGTCTCTTCTGAATCATGAATTCTTCTAGGGACTTCATAGACTTCATGTTTCCGCATTCTGACAGTGCCTGACGAGCTCCCAGAAGATATGCTCCAAGAAGATTGCATGGCACTCCGGGATTCAGAAAGGCACTGCACAAAATCGATTCTATGCCTTCCTCGGCGCAACTGAGGGTGATATATTTGTCCACGAAAAGATCAAACTTGTCGTTTCGAGATGGCCCCTTAGTGAACTTGGTAGTCGGCAAAGAGTACTTTGGAAGCTTGATTATCTTGTCTGGATACTGCGAGAGGACGATAGCAGTGCAGAGAGCAAGCACTGATTCTCTGTGCATGCTTTGCGCAGCGCAGAAGTCCTCAAGTGCTTCCAGTGCGAAGGTGGAGTTGGGAGGCCATGCTGGTAAGTCAACGCTATATATGTAGGTATTGCTGTTAGCAGGACACAAGGTAGAGTTACATTGTATTGGCTTAGACTTACCAAGGAATTGAACCAACTTTTGACCAAGACCATGGAGCATGGTAGGTTTTTGGGCCTCGGATGACCACTGCGTGCCACTCCCCCGAAACAATGGTCTCCCAGGAATTGGAGAGGTTCAACGGCGTCGGCTGCAAAAGGAGCACCTGTTCACCGGCCGTCGCAAGTCTCTCTGCCCAACGACAAGAGAGGATATAGCACCACGCTCGTATGAGACATGGCATATTCGGTGAAGCTCCAAGCCCCAGCGACAGCGTCGGATTCAAGATCCCATCCTCATACTGGTACCCTATAGGTGTGGAAAGGCCCAGCCTTGCGTAGTGAGTGAGATCTCTGATTTTCATATCACATGTTGAAGCCGTGGGTGTTTCCCATTCTGATTTGCATTTCAAGTGCAGCCACTCGCCATCAACCCAGACGAGTCTCTTGTTTGAATGAAGGGTGAACAGTGGCACTCCTGTAAGAAGGTCAGATAGATGCCGCTCGATATCGAATTGCTGTGGTTCGTGGCTCAGAGTTGACCAATATTTATGGCTGTCGGTAGCGACGGTGTAGAACTCTTGACGGGTCGGGCAAACACGGTCTCCAGGGAATGTATCATCCGGATCCTGGCTCATTGCCACAAGGAGAACTGCATCTTCTTGCGTACTGAGTACTTCAATGGCCGTACTGGACGTGGCTGGCAGTGACGCACAGACCGAGTTTCTCTTACTCGACCCAAAGTCCAGGCCCAGGCATGACACCGGCCCATGTGGCAGCTGGTCACAAGGCGCGTCTCAAAGGGGCTAAGGGGGCATCGTCACATCGTGGCATCACTTCACGCTTAGCCACGGACAAGGGACCAAGCCAGAGAATGACAGGTGAAACAAAGAACACACTGGCTTCAGCTCTGCCCTTGATCTTGAATCTTGACTGGTAGGCTCGGGGCCTTGAGCATGGGAAGCTGCTACTGCTACTGGTAGCTGACTGAGGTCAGCCGCCACTGCATTCCGCCCTCCACAGTTTGGGTTCCATCGCTTCGTCTGCATTCCGCTCCGCTCACATTCTATCTACGGAGTACTGTAGTATCCAGCCATTGCATCGCTACTCTGTCAGGTGGCAGGGCCCTTCTTTTAGATCCAATCCTCCATAGACGTTCCTGGAGTCTCTCATATCAGCCCTTCACTGCAGCACAGCAGGACCGTTGTACCCCAGATTGAGCATCGAGACCTACTACCATCACTATACGGGTCGATACTGACTTCACAATGTCAACTCATCCTTCCTCTTGCACTACCACCTCCTCTATGTTGCCGTATACACTCATCTCAGCTGATGCTTCTAGCGACCTAGGCCACTTCATTAGCATCATCACCGACGCCTTCTCCAGCACCCCTCTGACCACGGCCTTCATCATTGACAATGATCGGACAGCACCTCCTTCCCGTTCTATCCCTCGAGGGCGTCGAGAGCGTCATTTTTCCCAAGGCATTCTCGACAGCGCCGCCTCGACCGCCGAACTGGTGCACGCGGGCAACTGGTCAGCCATTGCGCTGTGGGAGCCGCCCAACTTTCAGGGCAAAGCATTCATCGACTCCAAGGCTCGCCCGGGAGCCTTGCTCAGTGAGTGGCGTGCACGAGTCAAAGCGGCCAAGGCAAAGCATCTGGCCGAACCTTGTACTTCCACTGCTTCCACCGATTCCGAGTCCAGCTCCGGTACCTCCAACATGAACACTGGCTCCGCCTCTGAGAATTTGACTCCCGAAGAAGAGCCCCAAATCCGACCTTTCTACCATCTGTCCTTCCTGGCGCGCAACCCTTCAGCTCCACGCGTCCCTGGCAGCCTCAACGCGGTGATCAGTCCGTTTCTGAAGCGCTCCCAGGCCGACCACGCGCCGGTCTGGCTCGAAGCCACGTCACGCCAGGCCGTCAAGCTGTACGAGCACTACGGATTTCGGGTCGTGGAGGAGATTGTGGTCGGTCAAGGCAAGGTCGACGCCGAGGGATGGCCTACTCAGGATGGCCAGGGTGAGGGGGTCACTGCCTGGGCGATGATCTATGACTCTCACCTGAGAGAGCGAGATTCTTGACGTGCAAAACACCTAAGATTGTTACGCTTCAGGATACCAATCGCCCGTCTGTTCAGGATGGCCGCCATTTCGACCAGCCTACAATGCCCTGACCCCCTCCATCATATTGACGGGCACACTGTGCTAACTCACACCGAGCAAACCCCGTCGCAGCAAGGTCGAGTTTTATCCTTCCGAAACACCTTGGATGAGGCCAAAGATTGCATCATAGCGGCGAGCTTTATTGGGACCACGCTTCTCTGCGTCATCTCCTCATGAGTAGACATCGGGTATGTGTGTCCACGGTGTCTTACCAAGATACGTGCCGGCACGTCCTCAAACCGAGACCCTTCCCTTATCAGTAGTAGATGGATACCATAACGCCTGGTCGAGGGAGCAGGTGTTGCGCGAGTGCCAGCGGTGTGAACAGAATCCACCAGGCCTCCCTCCTTTGATTCTTTTCCTTTTCCTTTTCTAGCGGGCTACGTAGGTAGGCAGGACCTTGTAGTGCTCAACCTCAAAAGGTTACTTACTGTATGTTATCTCATCTCAGGGCTATGTTGTGTGTTCTGTTCAGTTTTCGCAGTGACATCTACCTACATCAATCCTCAACGTACGAGTATCGTACAGTATCATCAGGATCGACACCAAGCCATATTAGTTAATACTAATCCCGATTGACACCAAGCCATACTACGTACGGAGTAGTTGATACCAATACTAACCATGCGCTCGTTCCGTTAATCAAGGGTAAGGGCCTGATATCATCTTACTCTTTGACTGAGGGCAAGCCTGGCCTCGCCTCGCCTCGCCGACTTTGATAAAGGCATCATGCGTATGGCCACCCACCCACCCACACAACCACTAAAAAGCAGATTACAGAGTACAACACGGTGCAAGACACAGGGGACGAAATTCCGGTTGGCTTCGTTTCGTTTCCTTTCGTTTCCAACATGATGGTGTTCGGCGATTGTGGTTTTATCTAACACCCCCATCTCCTATCTGGAATGGCAGAAGCAGAAGCAGAAGGAGAAAGCAGCCTTCGGTATGCATCCAAGAAAGTCCTGCTCTTATCTACAGTAATCCCATTATGCCAAAATCCAATCTCCTTCTACCCGTTGTTGCTAGGAAACCTCTCTGCCGGTGGAACCTGCATACAATGCCGAAATGGCCCAGCTTGCAAGGACAAGACAACAGTTGGCGGCGTTTCAGAGAGCCGTCGGGTTGGCGAAAAACATACGGTCTCACGCCCTAGGCTTCCTATTTAGTTGACATGCCGAACCACGTCGTCCAGCGCCTCGGCGAAGTACTTGACATTTGATGTGTTCAGGCCAGCCATACTGATACGGCCATTTTTGGTCATGTAGACGTGCCATTTTTCTCTGATGGCTAGCACCTGAGCCTCCGAGAGCCCAGTGAAGGAAAACATGCCGATCTGGCTGGTAATGTGATCCCAGGTTCCGGGTGTGCCTAGTGCATCCAATTCGGTCTTGAGACTCTTGCGCATCTCGATGATGCGTCCGGACATGGTTCGCAAGTCTTTTTCCCATTCGGCAAACAAGGTACTATCGCTGAGTACGATACTGGCGATACGTGCACCATAAGCCGGGGGATTCGAGATTTCCGATCGTTGAAGAACAGCTAGCTGGCTGGCTACTCTTTTGGTGACATCCTGTGCCTTGGTTCCCGGAGCAGCGACAAAGTGGAAGGCACCAGCCCGCTCACCGTACAGACCAAAGTTCTTCGCGAAAGATTGAGCGATGATCAGCTCGAAGCCCTGCTCGACAAAGTAACGGATGGCCCAATTATCGGTGGTCAAGCTGCCTGAGGCAAACCCCTGGTATGCACAGTCAAAAAAGGGAAAGAGCGACCGTGCCCTGCACACCTCGGCGATCTGTTTCCACTGGTCTTGCGTAGGGTCAACACCCGTAGGGTTGTGTGCACATGCGTGAAGCAGGATAATACTTTTCTCCGGTGCTGCTTTCAGTGTCGACAAGAGTCCATCAATGTCAAGCATTTTGGTCTTCGCAGAGAAATATGGATAGGACTTTATGGAAAGGCCGACATTTGTGAAGATTTGGTTGTGATTGGCCCAGGTGGGATTGGACACATAGATGGCTGAAGTGGGTTTGAGCAGGAATTTGGATAGGAAGAGACCTCCTAGATGAACGGCGCCCGTCCCTGAGATGGTTTGGAGGGAGGTGGCCTGTACAAGGCTGAAGTTAGCAAACCAGATGTAAGCCGTGCGATTTTGTGGTGAATGCGTACCCGTCCCTCTTTGATCGCGGGGCTTTCTGAACCAAGGATGAGTTTCTGAGCAGCGGAAGTGAACTCTGGAAGGCCAGCGATAGGGAGATATTCATGATTCAGATTGGGATCATTTCGGAGGATTTCGTCTGCCTGCAAGACAGGGTTCAGTTAAGACTACTAAGTCTGCTCGGATGTCGCGTAGCGCACCTTTTTCACCACAGGCAGCACCCATGGCTTCGCATTGTTGTCTCTGTATGCACCAATTCCCAGATCGACCTTTTTCTCAAACTGATCTTTTCGGTAAGCTGCCATCAACCCAAATAATGGGTCTTCTGGAGCCTGAGGGACAGCATCGAACAGCTCGACCGGACGATTTGACAGGGAGCCCATTGTGTGCTGTTTGATCTGAGATAAACGAGCGTTGGTGTCAGTCTCTGAAGATAAGGTAGAGGAAGAGGTAGCAGTTGAGTTGAAAGAGACGACGGAGGGTTTCGGCGGTGAGGGCATGACTGAATAATAGACAAGTGTTTTAGATTGTGCCACCAAAGGGGCCTGGTTCGGCCATTATGTACCAAGGACAGATGGATGCAGGGGCAATGTATACCTTAGGGCGGGCGGATGCACTGCGCGTTGGTCTTCGATCGTAATCTGACGCCAACCAGTGTGATGTGTTTGCAGGTTCTTGAGGCTAGAGAAGCCAGAAATCTCGGCACGGTACAACACCAACAAGGTATGAATAAATGACGACGGTAGTGAGTATGAGTGCTATAGGTCTAGTGTTAGGTGACTCGGTAGGAGACTCCGTAGGAGACTCCGTAGATGAATGTTGAACAACGTTGTGATGAGTTTGCCCCGACGCCCGGGGTTGGAGAAGTGGTGGCTTAGGGCTCCCTAGGCTATCTCTGTATCTGTGGTGCAGCGGGTTCAATGGGGCAGTGAGGGGGAGGAAACCAGCCAGAGGCCAATCGCTGGTGGATGGTTTCTCATGCCATCAAGTAGACAGACAATAACGACATACGGATACAGTACTCCGTACTCCGTACCTTAGGTACCTAGGCACTCTACACGTAGGCCACCACTTATGAATCCCACTTCCACTATGTAGATACATAAGTCTTGCGTTGCTATTATAAAAGTTAGCTAGCCTTCATCCTATGTAAACGCGATGCATAGATTCTGATTCCGGGGTGTGAGTCTTCTCTCCGCATTCTCCCGCCCGCAATGGTTACAGTACATAATAGTATCCGTACAGGGAGCGCGCCCTTTCACCAGTTCTAACCCTCAGCTGACGCGGGAAAGACCGGATGAGCGGCATAGTCAGGCATAGTCAGGCAAACTGGGGTGGACGCCCCGAGTGGGAGACGTGTCCCGGACAAGCAGACGATGCCGTTAGTTCTTCTTTTCCGCCTGTCAGTCATCATAAGCCACATGGTGCTAAGTTCGTCATATATCACTAGGCTCCCCGGTTGAAAAGTACACATAATGGCAGGCTCAGGTCATCACTGCCTATGCTCGTAACGTTTGGGTGAGAAAGCCATCAAAATATCAGGTCCCAACCCACCAAGAATGAGCAGAACCCGACCGTCGCATAGAAGACTAAGCGCGCTGTACTGCCTCTTTCACTCGCCCTCTTTAATTCCCGATTGCCCTTGCGCACATTCTCGTCCGTGTTGACCGCGTCTGTAACCAAGGTTCCGATCATTTCACCCTGGACGCTGAGATGCCCGACCAGCGTCTGCTGTAGACTGCTGATCTCTATTAGACTCTTCTCCACCTGGGAGACCTTGGCCAGTTGGTTGTTGTAATGTTCAAATATGCTCCTGTTCTCCTCCTCAAACAATTGTAACTGCTCGGCCGACAGCTCCTGCGCAGGGCCTTTCAGTGTGGGATCGACCCACGGCTTGTATTCATCGTGACCTCGCATGTCTCGATTGGGAAGCGCGTCTGGCCCGTCTACGTTGAACTCGGCCTCTCGACTTGCCCTGACGCCTTTGTTTCGAGGATCGTGGAGAGCACTCATTTGCTTTTGTCGTTCCCGTTCCAGTCTCTTCTCGACCATCTCCTGTTGAACCAGGACGGCATCGTTTAACCTCTTGCTCAGATACCACAGCACACCGTCTCGAAACGACTTCGTCGTCCTGATTTGCCCTTCCTCTTCAATCTGCTTTTGAGACTTCCCGGCATCTGGAGTATCCCCGTCTCCTCCAGCCCAGCGCCAGAGCAATCCGTCCGGCCGTCCATACTTTTTTTCAAGCACTTTTGTAGCTGTATCATGTTGAAGGTTCACTGCGGAGGACAGGTTGGTAATCTTGTTGTTGATTTCCCTGAGGACCGAGGAAGTCTCGCTGTCAATTGCTTCGCGTTGTGAATCGCTCAAGTGTTCGGGCACATGCTGGTTCGCCAAAGCAGCTCCGGTCACGGCGTGAGTAGCGTCAGCCCTCTTTGCATGACGAGGGGGGGCGGCGTTGGACAGGTACGGAGTGCGTATAGAGTGCAAATAGCTTAGGAGAGACGAGATGGATTTGTTCTATCGTCCGGGAAGTTAGATCTGATCAGCAACAGCACGGGAATATGGCTCCACACAATTTGATACGCTTCATTCAGAAAGGCGTCGAGGTTTCTGCTGAGGTCGCGGTTGCAAGCTAGGATCGGTTTGGAGGAATGGCTCTGAACCAGGATGGCGGAGAGTGTTGAAGACAGGTCGGTCATAGCAACGGGAAAATGGGAAAGTTGAGGGCCTGGCAAGTTTGAGGTTGAGGGCAAGTTAGCTAATCTTGACCTGAGGCCAAATTGCTCACAAGACTCTTCTGAGGAACATTAGAAGGGCATTCATGTGTCTGGTCTTTTAAATGCGTCGCGATCATCATCTAGCCTCCGCGTGGCAGATGCCGGCCCTCCAATCAATTTATTCAGATGCAACTTGCGTCCTCCTCCAGTTTGCCCGCATGTCAGGAATCAGGAACCGCCAGCTACACTACCTTAAAGTGGTCCAGAACGCTCTACATAAGATACCATCGCTCCTGAGTGCAATTACGGAGTCGCAATTGCATGCCCTTTTTAAACTCTAGTGTTCCAGGTTAGTCTCCTATCAAGCAGTATCTATTTGCCGACCACTGTTGAACAGGCTCCTCCTCTATGAATACATTGTCCAAGAATACCCGAAGCCCGTCATGATTCATTCCACATTCCAGAACATTATCACGACTCTTTGCACATTTCCATGGCTGGATCATAATTGATATCCTCCTCCCAAACCCCAGCGCCAGAAATTTGCCTTCCCAGAAATATACCCAGCCCAGTGACCACCACGGCTAACATGAAGAACCCGTCGAACCACCTTTGCACCCAAGCAGGCTCCAGCAGTCCAGCTCCCAGTGCGCTGTTGATCACACTGCCCACCTCTTTGGGCATCATGCCCCTAAGCATCAACGCGGAACTGATGACGTACATTCCACTTATTTGACTGATCAGAAGGGCAAAATTGGTCTTCGTTGCGTGGAGCACAGTAGGCATGAATCGAGCAAAGAGGTGAAAGGTCTGCGTGACAGCCGAAAATGATGCAAGAAGCATTGCTCCCGAAAGCAAGAACGAGATTTGGTGCGCCCACGAGGCCTGATCCAAAGAAGGATAGACATGCCGTGCAAAGAGCGCGATGGTCGTAGTGACAGGATCCGTGTCAGAAGATGTTGCAGGCCTTGTGGATAGTATGCGACGCCCAATGTTGATCGTGGTGGTGCAGATGCGATAGACACAGTAGCAGGAAAACACATAGGAGAAGGCTAAAGATATCCGTCCCAACGATGTCGATGCCCGTAGTTGATCGGCCCGCCGCGCCCGCAATATTGTCAGCGAGCTTTCAAGAGAGGATCCCATAGTCTCGAGGCCCGACATTTCCATCTCGAGCGTCTGTTTCTCCTGGGTTTCTGCGTTCCCACGTATCGAGCCCAGCGTCCGAGCCCAAAACCCTTCACTGGGGGTGTCCGTGCCCTTCCGTTGCAGCATTCTCAGCCTTCCTTTCTTCTCCGCTATCATATCCATTGTCGCTTCCAGTCCAGCTTGTTTTCGGGTGATATCTGTCTCGGCAACCAACCGTACCTTGGGTCCAAAGGTCTGCCAAATCGCACTAACAGAGGCAAACCCAGACAGCAGAGCCATCAAGGAAACGCCGGTGATACCTAGTCTGTCCAAGCAGGCCTGGAAAAGACTGTCCTGGCGGCTGATACCCTCATTAACATTCTGGGAAGTAGGGAGTAGTGTCCCAATCGCCCAAAAGCCACACAAAAATACCCCGTAGCCGACCAACTCGAGAAGCCATGCCAGGCGGACACGAGTCTTTCTTTGACCTCGGAACCCGTACCCAGATTTTGAAACGGCAGATGATATTCCCAGCAGCGGAATGGCCACAACAAGCAGGCCTAGCAGACTCACGACTGTGATTTGTAACGCGATATTCCTGGCCATGGGGTTGAATGAATTCGATATTTCGCACAGCAGCAGTTCGGTCAACACAGCGGAAAGCGCTATCGTGAACGAGAAAGTGGTTGCGGCGATGCGGCGGGCGAGTTGCTGCGTTGCGGGTTCGGAAGGGGATGTCGCCGGTCGGGGCAGGCCTTTCTCGCCATCTTGCGGCCTTGGAGAACTGGGTGATAACAGAGGGTAGACCTTTCTGTAAGCGAGGAAAGTCAGACAGGCAAATGTCGCGATGAACGGGGTAGTCGAGAGAGCAGCTTTGGTTCCGAAGTGAGCAGAGTGCCTCAAAGACGCAGGAACACACTCGTCGCAGTCCTCAGGGCGGGTTGGTAACATATTGAGCGATGCTGCTTGGGAAGCGAGTACGCCGACTCCCGGAATGCATGTTCTCGCCGCGAAAGCTCTGGAGGACAATTGAGGACAACTGCGCAAAGTACCAGCAATGCACAGGGAGCTGGCACCTGCGCAAGGGGAAGTGGTGGCTGTCAGTGGCGTGGCTGTCCAGTCCAATGTAGGTACCCGCCGCGGAGACACGTCACCGCATGCGCTGAGATAGTAGTAGATACCTAGGTCCTCTGTGGTATCAGTATTTGTGCTCCCTACCAGGTAAGGAGGTACCTAGGTACTTCTCACAATTTACGTTTGAGATACCAGACGAAAGTCGAAGTCAAATCTATCCCAACCAGGCGTCTTCCTTCTCCCAATTCTATAGGCCTGGAGGTATTGGTACGTTTCTTTCGCTCGTCGGGATCGCAGTCAGTCCCATCTGTCATAAATCTCTAGGCTTTCAATTCATCAACAACAGGCTTCGAAGCCCAGCTGACCCTTTGCCTAGTCGGCGTCGGGACGGTCAAATCCTACACGGGAGCTTGTCTTGACGCTTGACGCGTCAGCCTTTGCGCTGGCCCTGGAGTGTCTGCATCTCCACAACTGTTTTCCTGGTAGAGGGGTTTCCAGTCATACAATAACGAGGGATGTGACTGAGGCTTGTAGGAATTCCATATGTTTAAAAAAAAATTTATTTTGTTTATTTTGCAGACAACCATCAAGTCGCCCAGCCTAGCGAGTGTCTCCAAGCCAGCAAAAGCACGTAGCGGACCTTGTGTCAACCAAGCAGCTGCCGAAATATAGCTTCGTCTCTGTGGTGCCGGTGATCACATTTGGAACTTCTGCCTCTTCAGAAGTGAGCTCGCTTTGCATCTGACGTTACCAACCGTTCCGTCTGATGACAACCGAATAGTGACGGCTTGGTATTGGCCACCGCCGAGTATGGCTAATGCTATCGTGAAAGCGATCGACCGTGGCTTGGAGACCTTCTCTGCGGTTTGTCTCGAAGTATTTCTGCCAGCCACGGGGTTGTCTCTCTGACAGAAGGGCGTCGTTCTTCGACAATCTTTTGCACCCCAAGATAGCCATCTTCCGTGTCAGATATAGCAGCATCGCTATCCCCGCGCTCGTGGCGTTTCCCTGTTCGCTTTGAGGACGTGGAAGACTTGGATGGGGCCAGGTCGTCGTCATCCCAGTCTTCTTGTAGGGCAACAATACTGGGACTCTTCATGGCGAGATCGGCTCTGGGTGCGCTTTCTGTGCTGAAGTAACCGATTGGTAAAACAAAACCTCGCTCTGGTGAATCGTCATCTGAAGTGACATCGCTCCGTGCTGATGTTACTCGCGCAAGTGGCCCACCATAAGTCCCTTTCAAAATGCCCCTTTTGGGGGGACCGATCGCTCTGGCGACAGCATCAGCTTCTTGCTCGGTAGCTTCCATCGATATCGAACTGTTGTTCGCCTTGTCGTAAAGGTGGCTACCCCCAGCACTTTGAGCACGCTCAAGCATGCTACTATAGAGGCTGCGACCGCTTTCCAGCTGGCGTTTCTGTTTCTTTTTCATTCTTTTGGACGTCGGCCGAACGACAATCACTGGTACAGGGGAGTGTTGCAGGCAATACTTCGAGACGGAGCCTGGAAGTAAGCCTTGCATGCCGCCCAAGTTCCTGCCTCTTGTTCCCACCACCAGTGCCGCAGGCTCATAGAGCTGTATCTGGTTCCGGTGTCAGCCGGCATCCAACGCAAATGGCAGAACCACGCTTACCATGCTCTGGAATATTTCTTGAACCCTGCCAACAGCCAACTCCATAATGATGCTGATGGCTTTCTCTTCCGCGCTGTTCTTTTTAATTACGCTGTCGAGGAGCTTTAGGGCCTCGTCGCGATATTTGCCACGCTCGTACGGCGTCTCACTGGCGGTTTTTGAGTCCTTCTCCACCACACGCAAGCAGACTATCTCATCGCCGTCTTCGATGAGTTCATCAAGCACCCACTCCAGTGCATATTCGGAGTAGTCTTTGGCATCAGTACCGCACAGGAATGTGCGGGTCCGGGATGTAGAAGCGTAGTCGCGGTGTTTGTAGTTTAGGGTAAAGGATTCGGTGGATGCATCTCTGTTGTCGAAAGTGTCAAAAGAGACGCCACGCTGGTAATTGCCTTGCGGAGGAGGGGACGACATTCTTCGCTGGGTCGTAGAGGGTCGTGGACCTTGTGCGACGCTTTCCCTTCTAATAGTATCTTCAGCATCCGCAGTATGAAACTGGATCGATGACTTCCGTCCTCCACTTGCTGGCTGGTTTGCTGGTTTGGGTTGCTGAGGTGCCCTGGCCGCGTCTTTCCATACCTGGCCAAAGGCAAGTTCTTGTTCTTCCTCTGCTGAAGGAGCGTTGAACGAATTGGTTGGTTCGTGCGTTGGGGCAGCAGCCATTATCAGGTGAGCCAGGCGCAGCGCGGGGTAATCAAGCTGTTTTGTCTTTTTCTGCGGCTGGCAGCCCGTGGACAACTGTGTGTGATACCTGGTGGAGGACGAAGGACAACAGCGCACGGAAGAAACAGCTGATGAGAAGACGTTGCCACTGTTACTCTCTTCCAATGTAGAGGAGTCTATGTCTCGGTGTCTGTCACCAATCCGTCACTTTTCGGCGACTTCTTTCACGTGGAATCGGAGGGATGATTCGGGTTGCAAAACAGATGTCCCGATCCTACCTAGATTAGCCACCGCGCAGCTGCATCAGGTGAGAAGTTGAGACAAGCGGGAAGGCTTCATTACCAGTCGAGAGTCTCTTCGAGGCCTGAGACAAACACTGCTGGCAGAACTCTTGGAATTGCTTGGCCTCATGTACTGTAACATATACTGCTGCCAGTGCAGGGCTTCCAAATGCAACAGCTGTGGGGCTGTGCGGCGGTGAGCCTGAGAGAGAGAATGCAGGACTTGGTGGTAGTACCTAAATATGCTGGCTACTATTGCAGTTCGGCCGTTTTCCAGTGTGCTTGGTTTATATGGTGTTCAGCTAGGTGTGTAATATCTGTGCCATGTACCGCAACAACCACAGGCGCTTGATTTACTTCGATTGCTACACTCCTGAAATGCTTTCTCGCACCTAGGAAGAGAAAGAGCGACCCTGCTTCGGCTGTCTACCTACTAGGCGAATGATTGAAAGACACACGGGAGGCCAAACTTTGAATGTCTGTCAGGATACACCGCCCAGCCACTATAACCAGTGATAAACCTGCCATTTTACTTCAATGTCAATGTTCATCCAGCCTTGCAGGGATGCCGGTCAAAAACGGCACTTGTCGTGAAACGTGGATTCTCCCCAACACCCATCTCTGACAGGCAAAGGATGCACTCGTGGAAGAGTACTTGACATTCGTAATGCGGGAGGAGATAGATTTTCCAAGCACTCATCAAGCCAAGTACGACAAGGCTGCACCGGCGGACTGCAATTTCATTGCAAAAGTGTTTGTGAACGACTTCGAATTTATATACTGGACGGGGCAGAAGTAGGGATTGTTCGAGCCGCACCGAGAATGTGCCTCTAGGCAGGTATCGTCTCCCTCCAGATCTCCGTGGATCACGGCTGAGGAAATCGGCAAACAACTGTGTTTGTACAGTAAGCACATCATGTGCCATAGAGCCATAGACATAATATCGTCATGTCTACGCTGTTGTTGAAAAAACATTGCGTGCCAGGTCGGAAGGGCCTCGAAAGTGGTTCGGTACGGTTATGAAAATGCCCATGCGGCACCAACATATACCAAGCACCTCTGTGGTATTCACTTTCACCACCAATATCGTGGTTGAAGAGAGGATCCAGATAGATAGTTTGTGGTGGTCTCTCAAGTGATGGGCAGTAGGGGATATAGATCCGACAATGAGCCGCTGGACTGGCCGAGTGGATGACTTTGAACAGCGACAGTTGGCTCAAAGGTCCTACCACCTGCAAAATCCTCCGTGCCAAAAGTAACACATAGGCCTCAACTGGCGAAGCTGGGACTAATGGTCGCCCTGTCATAAGCAGTGCGCCTGCTTCGCCAGCAATCATTTCTTGAGTTCCGCATAGGGATATGTCACCGGATCGCCCTAGGGATCGATATCAGTACGGGAGTAAGCAAGTCAAGAAGCCTTCTTGACATACCTTGCGAAGCCATATCTTGGTCCGCTTTTTTGTCCCTTGGTGCTCGACAAATACTTCACGGGTATGTTCCGCCTTGAATTTGCGTATGAAACGAGGATCCCAGAGTTCGCTGGCCACCCCGAGATCTTTACAGCACCGCATCATAGCGTTCGATTTGCAACCTTCCGATGCCATGGGAATGTTGTCTTTGTTGAAGTACACCTGCTCCCCGCGTGCAATAGATACCAGCCTGCCTGCTTGTCAGCCTTGGGCCTTGGAACGTTCCGTCCTGCTCACCGTCCGTGGGCCAGTAATGCATATTCCCGGGTGACGGATTTGTCGGTGACGATTGTCTCGCCCCTAGGAGCAAGTCCCCAACCTCCCGGGCCAAATGCCCTGTTCAGGATGCGTCTGTATTTTATCTCCGGTAGGTATACTATTCCATCAGGCTTGATTTCAATATCTTCGGGGTCGAGAGCCGCCTGCAGAATATCGGCAGCTTCTTTGGAAAATGGTTCGGTGGAGAGCCCATGGAAAGATCTTGTCCAATCAACTCGAGACGGATCGTCTGCCTGAGTATCCAGTGGCTGGTCATCGAAGCTGTTCGTCGACTGCACATTGGAGGCGTTGGGCGCGCTTTTCGGAGGAACTGTTGTCTTCTGCGAGACTGGACTTGGACTCGCCGCAGGCTCGGCCCTTCGGGCAGAGGAGGGGATGAATATCGAGCGTACCACACGTTTGGCGACTAGATCATTACAAATAGAAGTGCGTGGCGATGCTGATGGGGAGAAAAGAGAGGTTGTCACTGATGACCGCGCGGAGTTGATAGGTAGTCGGGGAATTCGTAACATGGTTGCAACAAAGACAGAATTCAGGTAGAAGAGGCAACCCGAGAAGGAAGATTGGTTGAGGTCGTCAGAAATGACCAAAAAAGCCGTCTATAATTCAGAAGCGAGCAATTGCAAACGCGAGGGAAGATCCAAGTTACGAACCGCAGGCTGGAGTTTCCTTTGGATTTGCAACTCAACAACATGAAAAAGGCCGTGGCGAGCTGCGATTTCCCACACCCATCTCCTGGAGCCGGGCTCGTCACTAGTACCAGCGTCTACTTTTCCACCGGCGCATCTTTGCTCTGAGTTCGCTCGTCGTTCCCTTTGCGCTTCCAACACTGTCTGAATGCCTCCATCTGCACCTCCTAATTAGCTGGTGTGTTTCCGTGCCGAGGAGGAAACAGCGGCGCGGAGAACTGCCTCGTGCCAACCACCGACGACATTATTAACGTTGGGATCCGACACTTACTTCTCTCTTACACGCTCGCCAGTCTTTCTTTTCATAGTAGCAATCGTTCATTCGAAGCTGTTCCTCTGTACACTCAACATTAGAGCTATTTTCCGGTCAACTGCACAGTGGTCCACTACCAGCACAGCCGGTACTGAATATCCGCTGGTCCCTAGAAGCGCACAATTAGCACCACCACTGGGGGAATGACACGGGATCGGTTGGCATCTACCATTCATCAAGTTCATCCTCGCCAGCTTCAGGCCGGGTCGCTTTCTCTTCGTTCGACATCTCTTTTGGTTGAATTCGCCTCGAGCCGAGGTGGATTGAGGGCGAGAAACGTGTTGCGAAGTCGGGCCGTTGGTGCTCGTCTGACATACTCGGCTCTTGACTTGATTAAATTACCTTAGCCATCGAGCAAAAACACGCCACCAGCGACAATGGCTACTAAACGAATGAATATCCTCGTTTACTCTGGTGCGCTGACTCAGGAAGCATGGCGAGCGAACCGAAATCTAATGCTATCTTCAGGAAACGGCAGCACCGTGGAATCCGTGCGGCACTGTCTATACACCCTTCGGAAGCTGCTGTCTCCCAACTATGCCGTCATCCCCGTCACTGGTGATATGCTCATCAAGGAGCCATGGACAGCAAGTTGTGCTGCCTTGGTGTTTCCAGGTGGAGCCGATCAAGGGTACTGCAAGACACTCAATGGCGAAGGGAACAGACGCATTCGCCAATTTGTCGAACGTGGTGGCATCTATATCGGATTTTGTGCTGGTGGCTATTATGGAAGTCGAAGATGTGAGTTTGAAGTAGGAAACAAGCTCATGGAAGTCGTGGGCGATCGAGAACTTGCATTCTATCCTGGTATTGCTCGAGGTTGTGCATTTCCTGGCTTTGTCTATCACAGCGAGAAAGGGGCCCGAGCCGCAGAAGTGAAGGTCGACAAGACCGTCTTGTCAACAGGAACTGTGCCGAACGTGTTCAAATCCTATTACAACGGTGGAGGGGTCTTCGTCGATGCCCCCAAATACAAGTCGCAGGGTGTCGAGGTCCTGGCGAGCTACACAGAACCTCTTAGTGTCGATCCTGGAGATGGGACAGCTGCTGTTGTCTATTGTAAGGTTGGTCAAGGAGCAGCAGTATTGACGGGCCCACATCCAGAGTTTGTCTTTCTTGGGAAGCCAGCAGATGACTGGTCACTGACGAAGCCTAGATTTGCTGCTGTCAACCTTGAGCCCAAGCCGGATGTTCCTCAGTTCTCGGATGTTATCAAAGCCCTGGCCGAGGATGAGAACCAGCGCATGAATTTCATCAAAGCCTGTCTCACCAAACTCGGGCTCACTGTGAGCGAGGAGCAGAATGTACCGTCCCTGTCCTATATGCATTTGTCTTCATTGCAACCTGCAGATACGGCAAGTGTCGTGTCATCCCTGGGCCATCTCATTGACAAGGATGAACACGGCGAGGAATTCATCAAGGATGAAAATGACACATTTTACCTCGTGAAGGCTCCCGCCTGGAAATTGGATGAACTAGCTAAAGCCCTGCCTTCGCAGATGGAGACAAAGGAGTCTGCTGACCAAGGCCATGGCAGCTCCGACCGGATTATCGATTATAGTACAGTGGCCAAACAGGTACTCGTCTATGACAACGATCATCCTCAATCCCAATCGACGCCGTACTTTAATCACCGTACTTTCTACGCCAGCCTCCAAAAATATCAGTCTCAAACTCCTGGCACCTCCAGCTTTGGCACTCATCTACTATACGGAGAAGTGGTTACTTCAACGAATACCTTGCTTGAGAAGAACACAAGGATACTCCGCAATCTACCTCAGGGCTTCACCGCCACGGCCACTATTCAGGTAGCAGGCCGAGGTCGAGGCTCCAACGTCTGGGTTTCGCCAGCTGGCAGTCTTATGTTCAGCACTGTCATCCGACACCCTATGGCGCAGATGCAGACTGCCCCAGTCGTCTTCGTCCAGTACCTGGCTGCGATAGCCATCGTCCAAGGTATCAAATCGTATGATGGCAAAAATTACGAAAACATGCCGATCAAACTAAAGTGGCCGAACGACATCTTCGCCCTAGATCCGAACAAGGCCGCGGAGAACGGTGGTGATCGAAACGAAAACTACACAAAGATTGGAGGGATTTTGGTTAACAGCCACTACAACACCAAAGAATACATCGCTGTGTGCGGGATTGGCCTGAACACCTCTAACACTGCACCAACTACCTCTCTGAACCAGCTCACGCAGTTTCTCCCTAAAAATGTGCCGCCTTTCACGCTAGAGAAGCTGTTGGCCCGCATTCTCACGGTTTTTGATGACATTTACGCCAGGTTTTTAAGGACAGGCTTCGACGAGGTCATGGAGAAGATGTACTATGACCACTGGCTTCACATGGACCAAATTGTGACTCTGGAGGCCGAAGGCGGGCAACGCGCACGAATCAAAGGGATCACTAGGGACTATGGGTTGCTGATTGCAGAAGAGCTTGCGTGGGAAGACCGCGAGACTGGGCGCAGGTGGACCCTGCAGAGTGATTCGAACAGTTTTGACTTCTTCAAGGGTTTGGTGAAGGTAAGCCACAAATCCTGTCTGCATAAGATCCCTGGACTGCAACCCCTGCCATGGTGTGTCCCTTGATCGCCTTTCTGTATTCTCTGATATCTGCTGGAGTAGTCAACAAGCTGACCCTGTCGTGTACACAGAGAAAACTATGACAGCACCGACCCGTAGAGCTGACTGGCAACGGGTAGAAGCCAACTTCAAGTCGATATGCACAGGTGCAGGATGATTTCCCATAACGATCCTAATCAGGAGATTCTTTGATGGGAAACGAGACATACATATGGGGCGCATCCTCAGTTAGCTAAAGGCGCAGCGAAGGGACGAAGACAAAGACCACGTGAGGGACAGAGCTGGCGTATCAATTGGGCCGGGCATCGATAGAGAGGCACCAATGCTCGTGCCCAGGCTGGGTCACACAGCATCAGCTTCTGTTTGGGATTCGACAAACGTCAGCGAAGCCCGGTACATGCCAAACACGAAGCTTTTTACCTACAGAGGTTGACCCAGACCGAAAGGCTAGAATGAGGAGGCAGTTGGAAGACCACGTTCCCCCCAAGGTTACTAGAACCTCGTTCAAGTGACCCTTCTGAAAGGGTTTGCTCTGCTACTTGAAACCTGGACCACAATGCACCCTGTCTATGGCTAGAGCCGAACAACGGAAAAGAGGCTTGATGAGCCAAGAGCAATCGGTCGAGCAATTATGCTGGAGAGGTAAGGTTGTCGCCGGGGTCTCCAAAAGCGCATCTTGACATGGGATGCTTGTCCCATGGGTCAGCATCACGGCGGTAAAGGCACTCGGGGCTGGCCGAACTCGACATCAGCTCTGCGAGGAGGAGAATGTTCAAAAGGTCCTTTGTGGATCCTCTTCTTCACTGTTACCAAGGAATGTCTTGCAAACATACGAGCTTTTAGCTTGGCTCTCATGCATATCATCGGCGATCTCAGGTGGAAGCCCCCTGTTGAGTTTCAAAAGATGGAATGAAAGGCCAGCGCAAGCATCGGCAATCTCTGGCGATAGGTCTCGTGGTACTGCTGGTATATCGAAGACCTGCGTAGGACACGCAGGCAGAAGAGTTTCCCATCATGCGTACAAACGAAAAAGCTGGTCATCTCGTGTAGGTGTTTGTTTGCATCTACCAATGCCCCTCCTGCAGACTGGAGCTCAACGGCCAGTCAGGTTGCATCCTGATCACCGCCTTTTGCTTTTGGGCTTTGGCTGCTGGTCATCTTGAATGATTGACGGAAGGAGGCGTTGTAGCATCCATCCACGAGACCCTGGAAGCCATCTCCGAACGCGTGGCTTATACCAACGCCATAATCCGCGATGTCAGCTTGAAGGCATCGCTCGACGATAGGTACGAATGTTCCAAATTGATTGTAAGCCGCCTCACCAGAAAATATCTTTCTACTCTGCTTCACTTCATCCTAAAGCCTGTCTAGGCACACCCACTTACTTCTGAGGGTGCACCAGTGCTATGTACCAGGCAGTGGTGAGGTGGACATTTGAGTCTTGCAAGGTGGCGTTCGGATAGAAGACTCCGCCATCAAAGCAATTGAAGGGGGCCATGCTTTTGATTGGCATGTTCTGACAGCCATTGCCCCCAGTCATACGTCTTCCTGGGACATTCTCTTAGCCCAGCATGGTCGACCCTCGTTGCTCAAGCTCTACATCATGGCGTGGTTGTGCTATGTGACGAGTCTCGTTACACACCGGGACCGGGGTCTCCAGAGGACGAATCATGGAGGCCAAGGGGCCTATTAGGCTGCCGAGTGGTTCTGGCAAGGGTCAGGACTCAGGGAAAGGATTGCTTGTCGGGCCTGACCTGCGTCGCTGCTGCATGTCAACAGACACGACAGATCTGATGGGCGAGGCATAGAGTCAGACGAGAGGAGCTGCATCTCATGCTACCCGGGGACATGCCAAAGGCTTGAGGGGATTCCGTACCTAGGCTAGCTCAGAGACCAGAAGAACAGTTGTGACTGACGTAAAAGGCGCAGGAAACAAGAAGGCAGGCGTTGGATGGAGTTGGAGAGGTACTCCGTAATGTTGGCTGAACTGCGGATGTACTGTAAGTGTGCGTACAGTACTCCGTAATGTGGTGACATCCAACTCCGCAGCCGCCACTGACATAGCATGGTTACCCGCTACCAAAGAGCTGCTCAGGCCTGCCGTTCCCAAGTTGTCAAGATGACCCTTCACCTGGCTGGCGGGACAGCTGCCGCTGGGACTCGACTGACATCCCATGGTCCACCGTCCCGTTGTCCCCTGCCCTGGCGCCCTGTCTACTACTACTGTACCCGGAAGAGCCACCCCCGCGGACCTCGAGTCGACGCTGAGAGTGGATTCAAGCGATGGCATGAAACAATGCTTATGGAAGACTGCTACTTGCACGGTGGCGACAACATTCCCATCACCCGCAATAGAGATGCCATGCATGACCTGCTGCATCAGAAGCCTCTCAGTCCGTCCTATACCGCCTGTTTCCATTGCGCCAGTCAACGTCAACATTCCTCGGAGGTTATATCGTCCCTGGACGTCAGTCGAGACATCTTTGTAGCACGGAGAGCAACCGCGTGCGTCTCACCTTCCAGAGCTCATGCATCAACTCTACGGGTCCCTCCTGCGTCCACACCCAGCCTTGTGAAAGCGCAGTCTCTGCTCCCAGTCAGGAGCTGATTTGGGGTCGAACGAGTGTACGCAGCCGCTATCCGCATCTCCTCGCCTCACCCCCGGGGAGATCCTGGTCTCTGTTGCATACGCATTACATACGCTCGTGCTGATCCTCAGCTCTTCCGACCTCACATGGTCGTCGTACTATTACGCCGGACCACCGTTGCTCTATTTACCACCACAATCCTGATTCGGCCTAGAGAGACTCTCCCATCTCCGCTACTGGCCTGGCCGGGTGGCTACGCGGAGAACTACTTAAAGCTCTGCCTTCCCCGTCTTCTGGCAGGAGGCCAGCGTCTTTTAGGGCTGCTCAGCGCGCATAGGCTTGTTGCCTTTTGTGCTTTCTCCTGTCCCTTGCTGTCAATATGGAAACCGTTTTCATCACCATTCATGGTAGGTCCCTTGTCCTGGGATGGGGAGATTGTTGCTGATAGAAATGGATAGATCTGTCGCTTGATGCACGTATCAGGTACTGCTCCGATTCTATTGAGGACATTCTCGGCTACCTTCCACACGATGTCACCGGCAAATCATGCTGGGAGTACTTTCATCCAGATGAGATCCCTTTCGCGCGCTCCATCCATGGCCGCGGTGTCAGTCTTGACAAGGCGGCCGTCTTGAACTACTGCCGAATCAAGCACAAGGACGGTACCTGGGTCACATGTGAATGCGTCTTCACAGTCGTTCATGATGTCTTGGTGGCTAGCACCGCTGTCTATCGACAAGGCCCCAAAGCCAGGAGTCCGTTTCAACTGCTTTCCCCCTTCATGAGCTTCACGGCTAACGATAAACCCAGAACGGGCTCTCGAGGGAGCTGGTATCCGTCGCATCTTCTCTTCGTCGCCCCGGGACCCGAGGTATCACATGTTGTCGTTCCTGTCCAACAAGTTCTACCAGGACCCATCTGCTCATTTGCCAGAACCACGGGCTGCACTGTTTCTCAATCGCTTCACACGCACTTCAACCATCATGTATGCCACGGACGGACTGTCTGCCATTCTTGGCCTCGAGCCCTCGGAGCTCATTGGGAAGAGCTTCTATTACTGTATTGAAGAGAACTGTCTTCAAGATGCGGTCAAATGCCTCGAAAGTGCAAAGGCTAACGACTCAATTGCCTATTTGAGATTCTGGTACCGGAACCCGCTACAGGACGAGGATAGTCCGCATGCCGAGTCGGTGCGTGCTCTGGACGAAAGCGAAGAAGACGATGACGGCGGCGTCCCTCTGACGACTGGTGTAAGCTCCGGATCAAGTGTGTCAATGACAAATGCCTCTACGCCACGTCCAACCGAAGAAGCCCCGCATTTGACAGGCACCCAGGCAGCTGCTCTTACCGGTGCAGAGCGTACATTGCATGTCGATGAGGCGACGCAGTCCCCTGCTGCCCCGCCGCAGGTCGGTTCTGAGACCGCTCCAGCTGGAGGCAACGTCGGCACCCAGAGATTGTCTTCTGGCAATCATACAGACCCTCAAGCTCAGGCTCATGATGGAGTTTTTGGTGGTCCAGAGTCCGGGAGGTCCTCGACCGCTCAGACGCTCCAGGAAGATCTTCAGCCAGAGCGGCTGGAGCTTGAAGCCGTGGTTTCATGCAGTTCTGACGGTCTTGTTGTTATTCTCCGCCGCGCAAGACCCCTCGTACCTCATACGCTCGGAGCGACGGAGGCGCCATACTATGCCAACGGGCTGTTCGCCTCTCCCTGGGCCCCGGAGCCGGTCATTCCTCCTACCATGGCGCAGGGCGTCGAATCCCCTTCCGTCGCGTCCCCAACTGCCACGGAAAGCTCGGAATCCGGCTTCATGGCTGCCATTAGAGATGTCGCCGTCTTCGCCTGGTCACTTACCGGGATCAATGGGTCTCTTACGCAGTACGCCCGTGGTCAGGCCTCGGGCGAGGCATTGCCGCCAGGAGGCCTCCCTGTCTGGGATCCCGATGCCAAGACCGATCCGGACATGGACCGACTGTTCAATGGCTTCCTCGGAAGCGTCCACCGACCGTTTGAGGGCATGGGCGAGCCGACCCCGGGGAAAGAGGACGAAGTGGGCAGTAGTGAGGACGAGGTTGTTTGGAAACGAGTCCCAACAATACCACCTTGGCGTCGTCCCAAGAGAAGAGGCGATGATGCATTTGGCACGGATGAGTTTGAGGGGGGAGATGGGGAGAATAGAGATGGCGGGCGGAAGAAAGCAGCCAAATCGCACAGCGGATCTGGATCAACAGGAGGAGCAGGTTCGGGTCCGACGTCTGGGTCCGACTCTAAGGCCTGGTCTACCAGTGCGACTGATCAATCTGATGGGGCCGCGTGACCATGATCACTTTGAAGGAACGCCTCGGTGGGAGGAACAAAAGTACTTTGGAACAATTGCCTTTCGGTGCAGTAGAGCGGTTAGTATGGTGTTCTCCTTCTCGGATTCAGGAGCAACTAGGCCTTAGCGAAGGGGGATGCAGTGATACTTCCTCTCATATTCTATGAGCTGTGACCTCGAACGGAGGTGGAAAGCGAGGACGAGAACAGTATGCTCGGTACGAGTATTGGTACTCTTCAGTACCTACCTACCTAGGTACTAGGTATTCCCTACAACTTAAGTGTACGGAGAACTCTGTGGTAGTCTCCCTGCGAAAAAAATATTTAATGCTCCGCACCTTCAAACACGTGTCTTCGCGTTTAGCCGCGTTCAGGTTGGGGGCTGACGCAATAATTCTTGCCCGAACTCGCGACTTCGGGCGTCGGTTGCATTCTGTTTGTCGACGCACCTCATCTCCGGCCACGCAGATGCCAGATTCCAGATGCCTCTCCACGGGAACATGAAGCAGTTCGTGCAGAATCGTGAAGGCACGAGCGCTCAAACACTCCTGGCAAATCGTTCTCTGACACCGCAGCCTATATCCCACCGTGACCAGGCAACCCACCCTCATGATGATGTAGGCCAAATCCCAAGAGCGGCCAGCCGTGATGGCAGACACAACGACACGAAGCGTCACGACGCCGTGAAATTGAAACTTCCAGTACCAAATACCATCGGGAAACGCCCATCACCATCAGACTATCCACCCGACGCCGGTCACAATGTCGCTGGCCATGTTTCCACCACCGCACACAATAGCTCCGCCCGTACTGTACCTAACATGCAGGCACCTCGTCGGGTAAGTGCCTTTCAGTGATTTTCAGCATCCACAGTAGCTGACCTTCCTCGAAGCCTGTTGCATCCGCTTTCGATGACACACAGAGCATCCATTTCGACGACTCGACCAGCATAGCAGAAGATCAAGATGGCCAGATGAATATGCACGTCCGTACTGGCCTGCCGCGCAACACTCCGGATCCTCTGCGAACAACATCCGTCCAACACCTGTACAACACATATGAAGGACATCCGGCCGCACCACATGAAAGAGAAGGAGCTGTGGGCCGCTTACCTGACTGGCAGGCTACGGTAGATGCCGAACGTCACCGGCAAGGTCAGCCTCCGAAATTTGGTACACGGTTCGACAATGGTATTACTGAATACACGTACAGCGACGATGGACACGACGAAGGCTACGACCTAGATGGAGAGTATACTGTACCTTCCCCCTCATGGGACAACACTCCATCACGAACTCGAACTGCTCGTGAACCCAACCCTACCCGAACACTGAAGAAAGGCGTTGTGAACAGTGCAGTTCGTCATGCAGTGACCGAAGAACCACCCAGCCCTCCTCTGCCGACGAAGAGGAAGCCTTTGAGTGCAATCGGTCCCACTGAAATTACTGAACTTCCACTTAATCAGCACATCAATCGTTTCAAGGTTGGCAAAGCAGCTGATGGTGACGATTTGGCTGCCCCATCCAAGGAAATCCATTCATCCGTCCATGCTCCTCAAGAACACTCCTCAAACATGCCGCAACCGGCATTCTCCTCGAAAGTCTCCTCCTACAACGAGTCGTCTTCTGAGGAAGACCAGCCCCACCGTCTGGACGCACCGAATTCCACTCCTAGTCTCAAGAGATCCCATCAAGACTGCGATTTAGACTTCGACCGGAGGACTCTGGAAACAAAATCCATCACCGATCTAGACGCCATCCCTTTCGCGACAGACCCATCAGCGGCCCCTCCAGAGCCTGCCGTTGACGCGAATGGCAATCAAATGACCGTGTCGGCCAAACTCACGAACCTGACTAAGATGCGTCCCGAGGACCAACGGCAGTTTTTCAAATCCCAAACGGACGAGGAGCGTGAGCAAACTGCCAGCTGGTTCTTAGACAAGTTCAGATCAGATATGCAGAAATTAATGGCCGTAAGACTCGAGCGGAGAAAGACGGCACTAAAGTTTGAACTGGAAGTCAAGAAGCACGAGAGAAGAGTCCAGCTGAAAAAAGCCGACGTTGATCGCGAGCTGGAAGGCTTGAGAAAGGGCGGGGTAGAACTGATTAGTGGAAGGGCAGCCGCCAAATGAATCAATGCTGTCGGCAACTTGAATGCGGCTGAAGACAGTTGGATCTGAAAGCGGTGACTGTCCTCTGAACAAGAGCAACAGGCGACAATGTCACCCAGGCTTCCTGGAAGTGCAAGGTCCGAAAATTTTACGACGTCACGAAGAACGGCTATACGATGCCCATATAGTATTGTAACATCAATGTTCATGGATACACGAGCGAACGATGCATAAGCAAGTCTGGATGTATGATCCTCTCAGCGCCTCCTATCCCCCATGGTTTAATGATGCCGGCTCCACACTACATTTGGTCCCGGAATAGGCAAAGAGAAAGGACGGGGCAAAGACAGGAGGGAAGGAAGATGCAAGAAACCCTAAAAGAACCATATAATCATCATTTTCAAGGCATGGAGATTGAGCCATCATCAACCGACGACTTCCTGCTCAGCTGTTCTCGTCTTCACTTTCCGCCGTAGAACCTTCAGCCTCGTCTTGTACGGGCTTGCTCCCGATTTGGGCGCGCTGGACAAGCTTGCCCAGAACCCTAGCCAGGCGCTGGTAGTCCATGAGAAGATCGTTTATCTCCCCGATCTTTAGCTCTTTAACATCCGTAAGCTTCATGAAGCGTGAAATAGGTGGAGCTGCTCTAATGCTAGACAGTTCAATTTTATCGGGGGTACGCAGAGGAACATTGTCAGCGTCCTCGAGACCCGAATCCGTCTTTTTGTCCCGTCCCTCCGCGGTCGTCGGCTTCGTGTCCTTGTTGACCAGGATCGTTGGAGTTGGCGACGTAGGTGTCAGAGGAGGAGGCGCGGACACGGTTGTTCTGCTCCCAAATCGCCCGAATGCACCACCAAATGCAGAGCCAATATGGCTCATCGGATTGAGGCTGGTGCCGAAGCTCTTGACGGACTCGAGCGGATTGCTACTCGTTGGCTGGGTTACTGATGGAACAGCTTTTTCCGCGTTGGTGGCTGCGTATCCTCCATCCGGCAGCGAAGTTGAATCATTGCCTGCCGCAAAGACCGCCTTTTTCCCGCCTTCATTGCTCTTCACACTGTCCACACTTCGTTCACGCACTGCTGCTTTGCGTCCGCCTAGTAGACTCAGTATCTTATCCTCTGTTTTCGTCAGATTGGAAGATATTGGCGTATGCTGGCCGTCAATAATGGAGCTGGATTCGCTGAGGGCGTGGTCCTCCTCGTTCGGCGTGAGAGGCCGACTAACCAATTGCCTGGCTTCATCCAGTGTTTTCGGCACAATCACTTCGGCGTTGGAGTCTTCGGTGCCTCGCTCCTTCAACTTGCCTAATAGGAATTTGAAACTGTTGTCTAGTGTAATAGACATGTTCTTAAACCCTTCTTCCGCCGTGGAACGCATGGCTTCGTTTGCGTTGCTTATAGGCTGCAGCAAATCGGAGAAGGTACGTTGGTGGCGAGTTGAAGGGACAACAATGGGCTTTTCAGGCAGACGGTACAGGATTGATGTCGCTGGGCTTAACTCCACACCTGTTCCAGTCGCATTAGATACCGATGCGGCCGTTGTCGGTGGCGATGGTGTTGGAACCGTCCCGGAAAGGGGAGGAAAGGCTTCAAGTTTGTCTGGACTTTCTGTCGCGATATGTGTTGAAGCCTTTCTGGGACCTTCGGGCAGTTCATCTGCCCTAAGGCTTGCCAAATCGACATTTTCTAGGAAGCTCACTGCGGCCTCCAGATTCGTCAAACAGTATGCTGCTTCCCCATCAATTTTGGTCGCCGCTCGAAACCGCTGGATAAAGTAAAGATTGCTAATGACATTGATACCCTCAATCGGAGATGTGATCAGAGTGTAAATCAATGTAGGCAGGATCTCGTCCGCAGAGGACGAAGATGGGTGTATCGAATAAAGGGTGTCGACGATCGCTTTATGCGCAGCAGTCAAATGCTGCAATTTCCCCAGCGGGTAGTGCTCTTCGTTCATCTTGGCAAGCTCTTCTCTTGCAGGTATAAGTGAGGCCTGAACATCTTCGGCCGTCTTCTCGGTGTCCGAACTCCATTCGATGCCTAAATCCTTGAGCCCAATTCCGACTAGTGATAACGCCCCTGTCTTCGACCTCAATTTCTCATCTCTCACCTCGTCCAGTGTACTCTTGTGTCTCCATATTTTGTTGTATATCTGCTCACAGACTCTCTTTTCGACGGCTTCTTCTAACAATATCCTTTTGTGTTCTAGCAGCTTTCTCCGTTTCCGCCTTTCGGTCACCTCCGCTGCCGTCAACAGCTGCTGGAAGCCTCCCGAATTGTCTGGAGGGGCTAGAGAGTCATTAGACGACGTACTTGGCAAGGTCTTCGTTCGCAGTGAGGCTTTCAACTGTGTTGGCAATTGGTCCCGATTGAGTCGGGATTTGAGCGCAGATATGTGGATGGAAATGGCGCCGGAAGCCCGGGCATAGAATTCTTGGAAAAGTTCAGAGAGTTGGTCGATAGAGGGTGGTTCATTGTAAACTTTGGCACCTAAAGACTCCACGAATCTGTCGGAAAAACTGGCCAGTTCGACGGGCAGGTCGTCAAGCAGGTCGTGGAGAGCCGGGGACCGTCCCAGATCTGGGGAAGGCGGTTCATTTTCTTCGTGGATGGTTTTCTCGAACACGTCTTCCCTCTCAGTATCTAGCTTCGTCGGCGACTCCACGGAGGAAATGGCTTGCAGTGTGTGGGCTCTGCTCCGTTCCAGGGAAGGTGATGTATTGTCTGGTTCGTATCGAGCGAAGGACCGAGTCGATATCGCACTGGGCCTGGATTTGATGGAGCCTGTAGAGGCGGTTCTCGACATATTGCATAGACGCCTGCGAACAAGCAGCAATCAATATATTCTGTAGTGCAGTGAGATTTTCAGGGTGTATGGGCAGGATTCAGCATGCGAAACATGGACTGGCGAGCGTGCAGATCCGTGCGTCCGACATCATCGGTCTCTGAGCCTTCGCAGGAGCAAGTCTATCACCAGGACCTGTGTAGTATCTTTGCAATCCTTAGACACAGATGACCACCGCACCTGACAGGGCTCATCCGCTCACAGATCCGTTATTGCTGAGCGAGGCGGTCGCCAGCAGGGTTGCATGTGATGGATCGGGCTGTAGACTCCATGGTGGAGGCTGCAGGCGTTGTTATTTGTTATTGCTATGGTCTGATCGCCACCTCCGCACTGCAAGGCATCACCATTCTTATCAGTCTTCGGCACTCCATCTCCTTCTCATGTTCTTTGCCGTCATCAAAGACAACTGCCACCGATATGAAGCCCCGGAAACCTCGAGATCGATCCTGCCCATCCAGCGGCAGGATCACTGCTAGCGTTCTGCTCTCTCTCCTTGTACTCGCAACCCCCAGTGCAGCCAGCAACCCCCCCGCCCTCATCGACCCTTGGAATCCTGTACCCGTATCCAGGGAGAACACGCACGACTTCACCTTGAGACACATCTTCCATCGGGGCACATATCAAGACCCAAGACTACACAAACGCTACGATTTCCGCCCTCAGGCCCCCGTGTTGGTGACAGCAAACGACGAGTCTCTGGCCTCCGTTGAAGAGCCGCCACACTTCACTGCTCGATCCAGCCCTCTGGAGATTGAAAGATTGGTTGACCGACAACCAAACATCATTGACAAATATCTACAACATGCTCGCCTCACGGGTACCCCTGCGATCCTCGGCACGTCGGCATGGACAAGGGACGAAGTCAAGGGCCCGAACATCTCCGACAAAGACACTGTCCTCAATCTTGCCATTATGTCGGCCGATGCGTATGCTCCTGTCCCCGGCGAGGGAGACTGGCAGGATGTATCCCAAGGGTATAACCGGTCAAAGGATTTCGGATGGGACGGCGATGGTTTGAGGGGTCACATCTTCGCCGATGAGGGCAATGGAACCGTCATCATCAGTCTGAAGGGCACTTCTCCTGCTGTTTTCGATGGCGACGGCACAACCACGAGCGACAAGCTTAACGATAACCTTTTTTTCAGCTGCTGTTGCGCGCAGGGGGGGCAATATTTCTGGCGACAGGTCTGTGATTGCTACGACAGCACCTACACCTGCAACCAAACCTGTCTCGTCAAAGCCTTGAGACAAGAAAATCGATACTATCGTGCGGCCATCGACTTGTATACCAATGTTACTGAACTATATCCTGACTCGAATGTCTGGCTCGTTGGTCATTCCTTAGGTGGCGCGGTGACTAGTCTGCTCGGACTCACCTTTGGCCTCCCTACAGTGACATTCGAGGCTCCCGGCGAGGACCTACCTGCGAGACGGCTCGGTCTGCCAAGGCCTCCCTCTTCGGATCCTCACAGGCCGCGCACCAAGTACACCGGATCCTATCACTTTGGCAACACCGCCGATCCGGTGTTCATGGGTACATGTAACGGAGCTACAGCAACCTGCACACTTGGTGGTTATGCGATGGAATCCCAGTGCCATACAGGAAAGCAATGCGTTTACGACACGGTGAGCGATTATGGCTGGCGTGTAGGGATAGGCAATCACAAGATCCGCAACGTCATTGAAAGCGTGATCAAGGTCTATCCAACGGTGCCTGAATGCACGCCTGATGATGAGTGTGTCGATTGCTATAACTGGAATTTCTTCGAGAGCAATGGATCGCATCCCACGACAACCAGAACGACCACCACTTCAAGCTCATCTACGCGCACGCGGACGACAACGTGCAAAACGCCGGGCTGGTGGGGATGTTTAGATGAAACAACAACAACAGGTACTACCACTACACCAGTTGTTACCACCACCTACACGACCACCAGCTGCGCCACTCCTGGTTGGTTTGGATGCAAAGAGACAGTCAACGTGACTGTCACGACGACGACCACCTTACCAACTACATCCATTCCTTCTTCGGCTGGTTCCACGTCCGCCTCTTCGACGTGTGAACACCCAGGTTGGCTTGGCTGTCGTGACTCGACAGTTACCAAGGGCCCATCCCCGTCGCCGACGTCGTCACAAACAAGAGCAAGCAAGACGGCGGAGCCGCATACATGCGAAACTCCAGGTTTGTTTTTCGGGTGCCGCGACCGTCAACGGCATACTCATTCGATTCATGATTCCCTCCCGTCAGGGACGACAGCCTCGGTTACCGAGTCTCCTAGTACTAGCGCTAGCAGTACTCAGCCAAGCAGTACGGAGACTAGGAGACATGAGAAGTGCAGGCATCGCGCGTTCTTTGGGCTGATTTGCCTGGGACAGAACGAGGACGCGGATGTGGATCCGCAGGAATTGTGAGGCCGAGACAAGGATGATTTCACGATAACATGGAACTTAAATACATATAAGCACAGCGTGGGATGAGGATTAGAAATCCTGGGCATTAGCATTGAAACGGGGATCGTAGGGGCGTTGGGGAACAGGTTGTGACTTGGTTCATGTTTGCAGTGGTGGTTTGACTGGTTGAGGAGGCTCGGCCTCGACGCCTGGCATCGTCCTACGCAGTTTGACATCTGCATTGCGTGGCGGCCTGTCTCAAGCTTACCACAGACATACTCAATGTATATTCCAGTAGTCTGGCTTTGCTGCCGGAGTATTTTGATTATTGATTTCTCTAACCTCGTTCAAGATCAGAAAAGGTGCATATCATTCGCGTCATGGAAACACGCCTCATGGACCAGTATGTACTATACAGATCCACAAGACTCATCAGACCCGTAACGAAAGTCGAGACAATATATCCCACATCATTTTTGGAATACAAGACCAAATGACCGGTTGACGTTGTCGTCGTCGTCGTCATCACACCAAGTAAAGCTACATACATCCGGCACACAATCCACCCAGCCCCTGCAGCTCCTTGCGTGTCTTGCTCCCAAGTCCAGGAGAGACGGATCCTGACCCAAGGTTACGGGACAGCACTGAGGACGAGGCCGGGGACACAATCAAGCTCAAGTTCCCAATCCAAGAGGATCTTCGGCAGTTTGCTTCTTGTCTTTGCCGCCGACTGTGTCAGTGGCGCCCTTGGCCGTATCACCTACGGCTTTGGTGGTGTTGCCGAGCTATTTGTATTGACATGTTCAATCAGCCCGGCGTTGATAAGAGGATAAGGCTCTTGAGGAATTGAGATTGGATCAAGGCAGGATGATTGGGACACATACACCTTCAGTCGCGCCACCGACGGTTTTCCCTACGCCCTGACCGACGCCAGAGAGGGTGTTGCCGACGGTATCCTAGGAGACAAACACACAACTGTTAAGACTCGTTCCCCGTGAAGGTTTCGGCATGTATGGACAAAGAGGTCAAGGGGAGATGGGACGGGAGAGGATTCGACTGGAGAGGACATACAGTAACTCCGCCGACAGTGTTGCCCACGGTATCGGCGAGACCGCCCAGAACGCCTGCTAGACCTCGAAAGTGTCAGTCTCGAGACCACTCCCAACATGTAGGCCACCGGGGATGGAGTTTGGGAACAGAGGCAGGTAGCAGAGGCGCCTCTCAAGTCAAGTTCCGCCGTCTCAGGCAGTATTGGACGCTGGACGCATAAGGGGGTCGACCATGAGACAACATACCGCCTTGTTGCTTCTGCTGTTCTTCAGCCATGGTTGAGGTCGATTTGGAGTCGAGAAAGCAGGTCGTACAGAGTGTGGTAGAAAGGTAGTAAATGAGTTATGACAGTCAGTATGGAAGTCTTGGTGCGCGAGAGATTTCTTCTGTTTGTACTATGTCTTCTTCCCTGAGGTAATGTATGCGTTATATACTTCCGAGCGTAATGTAAGAAGTCTGGATGATCGCATCATCCATTGCACACGGGGTGGCTTGACGTCAATCATGATTCAACGACCCCTCGTGCCTCCGCTGTCGACACAACGTAATCTGACCAGGCAAGTTCAGGGAACGTACGAGTACTAGTGAGCCAGGGTCGAAAGGTCAGGGATTCCCGACCACGGCCACAGTGGCTCGTGGGCGGCGTGGCTCGAGGTTGGGGGATCCCTTGGCTGGTAGGACAGATCCATCACTAGGTACGAGTAGGTAGGTCATCAGACCCGGGCCTAAGCCGTCAGAGAAGGCATGGATGCACTGGTGGATGGACCGAGTCGATGAGCAACCAAGGCGACTAGTTGATGTGGAGGAGGATGTGCGACTGCGACTGGGGATCCTGGTGGTGCTGCGAGCAATTAGGTGCCCAAGCATGGAGTGCGTGGGCGAGTGAGGACGATCTCTGATATCCGTACCCGTACCTAAGAGAGTACTCCGTATATAGGAAAAGGGGAAGATCGGTCAATCTCGAAATACTCTTTTGACAAACACAGCAATACGTACAGCAATCCTCACTACTCCGTACAGATCGTTTAGAGACCGGTCATGACTTGATTATTCCTTGTATTATGGAGGTTACTCCCTTGCTACCCAAGGCTCATAGCAACATCCTCCTGAACACCAAATGGCCTTTGTAGAGGATCAGCCTTATCTTGCCATTGATCATGCACATCGTCCTCAGGCCCATCACGGCTTCGATCACTTCGAGTACTGAACCGTCCTGTGTTCTTCCCACTGCTGCTCTTGCTGTCGCTGCGATTTCGTTTCGACGAACTGGAAAACCATCCACTGCCTTTCTTGGTCGTCGAAGATTTGGCGACGCTCACTGCATCACTATCCTTGGACTTGTCTCCCTCTCCTGCAGCGGTCGACTCTGGTGCAGACGTAAGCGTGGCTGTTGCAGCTCCCATGTCCTTGGAACCACCGAGCCCTTTGGCGAAGTCCTTGGCCTTCTTGACCTTTTCGTCTTCTGGGTCCGACAATGGCTGCACCGGTGTTGCACTGCGACTGACCTCTGTGCTAGGCGTGACTTCCACCAGTTCAGCATCTCTACACCATTTGCGTCTCCTAGTATACCTGCCCCATCCGTCTTCCGTCCTCCCGTCTTCCCACCTGTTGTCGTAATAGATCCAGCCGCCACCGTCACCGGCTGTCTCCGCGCCCGAAGCGCCAGCCGGGCCAGTTTTAGTCTGGCTAGCAGCTCTCCTATGCTGTTTGGCATCTCCGTGCTCTATTCTCCATTCGGAACCTTCAACCCACCTCCATCGGGCGTGGCCCCCTTCCACTTCTGGCAACCGGAATTCGTCTTTGGACGGCGCAGGATTAAGATGTTCGTCAGTCCATGGACCACGCTCATAGGCAAAAAGAGAGGTTGTCCAGCCAAGACCTAGCCAGCGACGTTGGTTCTCATATAGTATGAATGTGAACCGAACGCCTGAAGAATCCGGTCGTCGTTTGGTTGCGACCTCCGACGCAAGCCCGGTTTGGGATTTCGACCGCACAGCTCGGACTGACTGATCAGTTTGCCCATCGTTCGAGAGGTCGAACGTCAAGCCTGTGGCAAACGCGGCAGTTTTGCGCAGAAATACAGAGCGCCAAAGAATAACCCGAGACACCCGTGCCGGCTTTGAGTGCCAGGTCAGCATAATAGTACCGAAGGTGAGAATGGCCCGTCGAGAAGTCAGAATGTAGAAAGGAGGAAAGGTTAAAGCGACCCACACCGGGGTTATGAGAAGGACGCGAATAAAAAGGGTAGTCAATGCTGGCCGGGTGGTGGCAGTAGTGGGAGTTGTCTGAGTAGAGAGGAAATCCGTCAGGTTGAGGAACGGTTCTAACAAGATGTTGCAGCGCGCAGTGAGCTCCTGGAGGGTATCAACAATCTCGTCTAACGTCTTGTACTGAGATGAGGCTTCCGAAGATTCTCTTTTATGGGTTTTGGCTGGACGTTTGTCCCCTGTTTTGCTGGTCGACGACAGAGGCGAGTATCGTCTCCAGTACATAGCCAGCATCAGACCGATCACCACGATGACGGGACTGGCAAAGCGAATGATGTCGCTCCCATAAAGCGTGACGCCCCAGAAGGCGACCACCAAAAGGTAGGATTCCCAGGGATCCGGTGTACTCCATGACAATAGTCCGGCGAGTTTGTTCAACGGCAACAAGAACGGATGAGAATGGGCCAATGCTCGAGTGATCTGAGGCGGTGTTGCCACCAGGAGAGGAGATTTCTTGTGCACTATTATGGTTGACCGTTGCTTCGATGTAGCGGAGTATCCGGAGGTGGAAGAGGGAGAAAAGGCGGCATATGTGGGAGGATTCGGGTCCCAGGTCTGCTGGGAGCCCGAAGGGTCAGTCGCGGACGCATGAGAGGTTGGTCTGGACATTGAGGAGATCCAGGGTGTTTCTAGACAAGTCCGACGGTCAGTCTGATAGACGAGGAGGAGGGAGGGAGGGATCTGCACCAAATGCTGCCATACAAGGGCTCGTGATTCATTGGAAGACTGCGGTAAGAGGCTTGTAGAACCGTTGACGCAAACAGGCGACGCCTATGGGAATGGGAATCTAGCAGTAGGAACGGATGAGCCTCTGGAGATGTGCATGTCAGTAGACATCGTGTACAGTTGAACAACGGCACGTCTGACCTCGTGAGGCGGTTGACAGTCGAGCCGACGAGGCATGTGCCCTCCAGGTAGACGAGGGAGCCTAAGAAGCCCCGGACCGTCCGTTGCCATACTCTGTCGACGTCAGCAAAGGACGGGCGCATCACGTGAATCTAGACTGTTCTCCAAACCCAAGTCGGGGAAAAATGGAATACATGGTGGAACTAAGCGTCCCTGCTATCCCAAAAGATTTCTCTCTTCATCAGACAAACCACAGGGCGTCGCCAGTCTTTCCCCTCGCCAACCGCTTCCTCTGTTTTCGCGGTTCTTACAGGAGTAAATGGTGAGTGTCACCCGCGACCATATGACACGCAACTGCTCTTGCTCATGAGGCTAACCACTAACTTCTTCAGGCGCATCGAATCATCACCCAAATCGTCCTCACCGGCGGTCGTGTCTTTGGCAAGGCTTTTGCAGAGGCATACAAACAAGCACAAGCATCCTCCCAATATGCGAAGGCCGCAGCTAAAAGTGACCCGGGCTCCCTCAATACCGCCGCCGCTTCCGGCATGACCCTGGACGAAGCCTGCAAAATCCTGAATGTCAAGCCACCTCAAGGCGGCGTTGCCAACATGGAGCAGGTTATGGAACGATTTAAAAAACTATACGACCTCAACGAACCCAAGAAGGGCGGTGGCGGATCGTTCTACCTGCAAAGCAAGATCCTCCGTGCGCGGGAACGAATAGAAATGGAAGCGAAAGCTGCCGAACGGAAGGCAGCTTTGGAAAAGGAAATCAAAGAAGGTTGGAAGCCCAAAATGTACAGAGATTGATTCCCTGTGCTAACCGTCTGCGAAGGACGGTGACCAGACTGGACGGCCGGCCAGTTTGGACGGACTACGGACCCTTCCTCCACTTCCAACTCTTTCTTCTTCCCGGTTCTGGACATACATGCATAGCGGACGGCGTTGGGGTGTATATATCGCATCGCGAGTTGTACAATAAAAGGCGAATGGAAAGTGTTTAGAGATTATTTTGGCAAGCGACAGATACTCGCATACAAAGCTTCAGCTTCAAATATGCTGAGATTTGGCTAGGAAGGAGGGTCGACTCGAGATTGCGGAGCATTATTGAATGGAAAGATGCCCGGAGAGTACCCTTGCGATGGACGCAGGCGTGGAAGGACGACGATAGAAGGCTCTCCTCTCATATTCGAAGATAAGGGGGAGAGAAAGATGAGACTGACTGGACGGCGCAAGAATCCGATGATTCTGAAAGGCCAGAGGCCAACATGTAGAAAGGGTGCCAGACAGATCTACACGAGGGCGATGGCCAACCCTGTCTAGAGCTAATTACTAGGTAGGCAATCATGGACAGCGTTGACTTGCTGAGTCGGAGGATAGTTCCGCAAGCAAGGTATATTGTTTGCGACAGACGATCTCATTCGAGGCCGTAGGTAACGCAGGGTAGGGTTTGGGAGGTATAGCTGGAGCATTTACAGAGTAACCTTACCTAACATACCTGGAGCACTACCTGGAGCCACTATATTCTCGGGTGCACGGTGGGTGGCATGGCACAGGGGTCTGCTCCATTGCCGGGCCCAATCTCGACGCATCATGGATCTGAGTGGCGTCGTGCTCGACTCTGCTTCGCCATCGCAGTCGAGGCTGCATTATCTTGGTATCCTGTGCCCCCCCTCGCAGCTCAGCTGCCTCGCACAAGAAGCAAAACGCAGGTCTATCTCGACATGTCCTTTTCCTAGCTCTGCGATCCTCATGACCTCTCGAGATAAGCATCTAGACATCTAGACACGGTCATCGGTCTCCTTCTTCCCTAGCCTCTACTGCTAGTCGGTGGTCCATTGCCTCTGCGGCTGCGGCTGCGCAGGTACCACGCCCCCACCCAGGATCTCGCAATCCCGTCCACAGATCCTCCCAAGGAAAAGAAACGGTCGCCGAACAACGGCACATAATACATATTGTTCTTGACCGCCAGGACATAAAGTAGAATAGACCCGATTTCATTCTCCTCTTTCCTTCTCCATTCCTCTGTCCTTTAGAAGTCGGAACTCCGTCCTTGCTGGGCACTGACAGAGCAATGTTTAGACCAGTGGCACCACTGTCTGCCACACTCCCTCCCTTGGTTTTCGGTACCGCCACCTTCAATTATCAGGTATTGATGACTCGTCCACGTATAAAAGGGTAGCCGCTGATCACAAGTCCAAGTATAATGTCGATCCATATGCCCTGAGCACTACATCCCTCGTCCAGAAAGCACTCGCTCAAGGCGTCCGCGCCTTTGACACCTCCCCTTATTATGGGCCCGCCGAAGAAATTCTGGGATCGGCCTTGGACTCGGATATAGTTCGAAACCATTATCCACGGGATCAATACTTCATTCTCACCAAGGTCGGTCGAGTCGCCTCTGACAGCTTTGACTATTCGCCTGCATGGGTCCGCAAAAGTGTCCAACGAAGTTGCAATCGCTTAAAAACCGATTATCTCGATGTCGTTTATTGCCACGATTGCGAGTTCGTCTCGCCACGGGAGGTCCTCGGCGCTGTGCGTGAACTGCGCCGCATTCGGGACGAAGAAGGGACTCTCCGATATGTCGGCATCTCCGGCTATCCAGTCCATGTCTTGTGTGAACTGGCCGAGATGATTCTCCAGGAGACCGGGGAACCTATTGATATTGTACAGTCGTACGCTAACTTTACGCTCCAAAACACAAGGCTGCTCTCGGAAGGTCTCCAGCGCCTTGTCACCGCCGGCGCTGATGTTGTGACTAATGCTAGCCCACTAGGCATGGGATTGCTGCGAAGAAACGGTCCTCCACGTGGAGGGATGGGGAACTGGCATCCTGCGCCGGACGATTTGCGACAGGCGTGTATCGACGCCGGAGAATGGGCTAACAGCCAGGGAGAGAAACTGGAAGTCGTCGCAGTTCGATTTGCTCTCGAGAATTGGCTGCGCGAGGGCGCAAAGGCTGGAGCATGGGGCAGTCCCCTTGGCGATGATGATACGACCTACGGTCGCGCCCTCAATCTGCCTCGAGAGAAGCTCGGTGTCACTGTGATGGGAGTCAGTAATATGGAAGAATTAGAGGAGACATTACGAGTCTGGAGGAGTGTCCTTGATGGGTTTGCCGACGACCTCGATGCCGAACCAGGCACAATCACCCCATCAGATGCCGTCACCGATCACGAATGGTCTCTATTGCGCCGTCAGACCATTCGTGTACTTGCCAAAGGCATCAGAGAAGTGATTGGGCCTCAATGGGTAGACTACGTTTGGCCTTCTCCTGACCCAGGATTTGTGAATCAACTGCAAGCTTCCAACGTGGTCGACGAGCCTCGAATCGTGGAGCCTGCTGTGGTGCCCGAAGCTGGTATCTTGACTCCGCCTCTGGATGCAGGTGACGATGGAAAGTCTGCAGATATGTCGGATGTTGTGTTGAGATTTGACCGCCAAGGTTGACAGTTACTGCGGTAGTGTGTTTGCCTGTGTTGGTACTTGGACAACATCGCGTTTTAACTGATCAGAACGAACAACTATCTCAGAAGCATCCGGACTCCTCGACACTCAACCGCCGTTGTCTCGATCACGATGGCCCTCATCAAGCCAGCTGCCTACCTTCAACTCTTGGAGACCGGGAAATACTCAGATCTTGTCATTGACTGTCAAGGAGTCGAATTCAATGTCCATCGTACCGTCGTCTGCCCACAATCTGCAATGCTAGACGCGGCATGCAGTGGAAAATTCGAGGTATAACTGCGAGGATCCTACCGAGTCATTGTCATTAACCATCGGCAGGAAGCTCATACTGGCCGGATCAAATTTCCAGAGCAGCACCCTTATATCATGGCACGAGCTATCCTTTTCATGTACACCGCCGACCACCTGCTCCCCGACTTTTTAATTAAGAAGATAACTCAGGATCAGAAAGATGCACTGGGAGAGATTTTTTCTTACACGTTTAGAGAGATCGACGAATTGGACATGAGGCGTCTCAAGGTCAATGCTCTGCTGTATGGATGTGCGGACATGCTTGGGATAGAGGACTTGAAGACGATAGCGTCCGAGCTCTTCATGGAAGTCGCTGCGCTTGCTTTTGAGTATGATGGCTTCGAGGAACCATTGCAGTTGCTTTACGAGAATACGAGACCGGATGATTGTGACTTGAGGCTCAAAGTCACCGGCCTTTGCGTGGAGAACCATGACTTGCTTGAAACCCGAACCAAGACACTTGAGGTTCTCCAGGATCATGAGCCGAATGTTTGGCACGTCTCGGTTGAGCTCTTCAAGCGGTGGACGTCTTCCCAGCAAGGCCAGTCCATGGAAAAGCTCCCGCTGAGGAACCGAGGGAGGCTTTCGAAAACTACCATGAAGTGATCAAGTCGATCGATCCATCACGGCTCTAACGACACATAGAGGGCCTTCATTTCACGGAATCTTGCTCTAAAGAAGCCTCCGTTCTTCATGCATAAATCACCGCTCGTTCTCAGGTGCTGGTCAATCAGTGAGACTGTTTGTTGGTGCTGCTTCGTATGGAGAAAGCATCAAGACTAGGCCGGGTGAGGTTTGGCCTCGGACGGCAGAATTCAATATCAGATGCCCAAGACTCGAGCAGAAAGAATCACCTATATCACGTCTTCGTCTCCTGTGACCTTTGAGACGAACGGACGTCTGACTGATACTCCTGTGGACACCGATCCATCTCTTCTCTTCGTCTTCTCTATCATGTAATGTTTGAGTTTTCTTGTGTCTTGTGTCTTGTGTCTTTCCAATGCACTCATTGCGCCGCGATCGACCATTCCATTATCCTCATGCAGTGGCCAAGCTGGTTCAACCGTTGGTATGACTTCCTACCTACAGGACGGCGCGTACGGCTACGGATCGCAAAACCGTACCCAACCTGACCCGACGCACATGTAAATGTAGATGTAGATGCAGGTGTAGAGTCGAGCCTCCTAAGTCCGAGACCCTTCCAATGGTTGTGGTTGTCGTTGTGGTTGTCGTTGTCCTTGTACGGAGTACGGATGGGTTGGTTGTTGTACAGTACACCTGGAAATCCGCTGATGCCGGCGCCGGCGTGTCGTACTTACTGTAAGAGGACGGATAGGATAGGATAGGCCGTACATACATACTAGGAAGTGATTTAAGGAAAGTCGCCGTTGATGAGATTGAGATTGAGATTGGTATTGGTCTTGGTATTCATCTAGGTCTAATACCTACTAGGTACTCTGATGCCGAAGAGCCACAGGTCAAGGGGTACCGTACCGGGCACAGTAATTAGGAATGAGGAATTAGGAATTTCATTCAAGTTGAGTTGCGAATACACACTCCGAACGCCTGGCCGGGTATCATGCTGTAAAAACACCAGCAGCAGCACAGCCCCCCCTTGATCTCTTGTCTGCTTTCGCTCGGTAGGGGGAAGACAGAAGAAGAAAAAACACACACGCCCGGGTATCTATGCATTGCTGCGGCATCTTGCTCCGGTCTAGAAGGACTATATGCCTTTAAAGCCTTTCTCACTCCCCTCAGTCAATTTCAACGACGACACAGCGCTCGACGACGGCATCCACCACGCCTTGCACCGTCCACCGGCCGTCCCAGAAGCGTCTCCACAGGGTGTCTTCGCCGGCGACGTTTCCGACGGCATCTTCCAGGCCCTTGACCCCGACCATGCCCTCCCTCTCCCTCCAGAGGCGCTCGGCCTCTTCGCCGGCACGCCGGACCTCAGCATCCTCGTCTTCGGCACGGTACAGATCGCACTTGTCGCACTCGGTGCACTTGGTCCCGGCGGTGGGGCGGAAGTGCTCGCAGAAATGGCGGTATCCTTCGCCGCCACCTTCGAAGTTGGACGAGGAGCCGGCTTTGCCGATGTTCTTGCGGCACAGGTAGCACATGCTGTAGCCGCAGACGCAGGTCAGCTTGTTGCAGCCCGACGACTTGACGAAGCTGGTCCCGCAGCGTGGACAGGTGCGCTTGACGGCCGCGGTGCGCGCCGCTTCGACCGTCGTGCGTAGCGACACGATCAGCGGCTCGTGGCAGACGTGCGGGTTATGCCATGCCTTGAGACACTTGAGGCACGATTTCCGCGAGCATCCCGGCCTCCGGCATACGAAGCGCGTCGTACGTTTCTCGAGCGCCAGGTGTGCCAATGCGGTGTGGAAGGTTGCGATGAAGTAGCCGGGGAAGAGGATCATGAACGGAATCAGCACGAAAATCAGACTGGGAAGCAGTTCGAGGAGCAGGAGCAACGTGAATGTGTCGATGCCCGTCGGCTTACGCACGCGCCAGATCAACTTGTCCGCCGCTGAGTCGCGGTTGTAGACCTGCTCGGCTTCGGCGTAGGAGCAAAACGGGCAATGGTGGATCGGTAGGCCTGACTGTTGTAGGTTGTATTGCGCCAGCCGGTCTTCGAATTGCGCCCATGTCTCCGCCCCCGACTTCTCACGGAATACTGCTTGCCGGGCGAGCTCCTGGGAGATGCGGCCATCACAGGTGTCGGTGGTAAGGCATTTCAAGGTGCCATGTTCCATGTCAACCGATTTCGCCCAGCCTTGTCCAAACAAGGCCTCGTGCAGGGTTCGCCGGACGCAGTCGAGGCAAATTGTATGCTCTGACTGAGTACATACGGTGGCATCTTCAAAGGGGATGTCGTTGTAACAGACCTGACACTCGAACAGCGCCCCGGCTTCCTCGGCTTCTTGTAGATTGAGCGTCTGCGCCAGTTCAAAGTCGATGGTCTCTTGATCCTTCGATCCCTGCGCCCGGACAGGATGCATGAACAGCGCGGACAGTTCGCTGTCAAGTTCTTGAGAGCCTGAAGCGATCAACCGCGGTCCACCGGGGTCTGCTCTAGTCTTGTCCAACAGTGAAAATGGCGTCTCGTCCTGAGCCCTCTTCTTCCTGAATATGCTCGTGAATGCGACCTTCCAGGACTTGCTCGCTAGTCCCTGGAGGATTGGTCGAGCATGAGTGTAGGAGAAATTGACTTCCGCGAGAACCGCGTCGACGGCGCTCTTGCTCAGTGCGTTGAACTCGCGCCCGACCGCCCACTTGACCGCATCAATGTAGTCTCTCGCCCTGAACAGATCCTCTGCCGAAATTGGTTCGTCTATCTCTCTCGGCGGTACGTGAAAGCGACCCTTAGCCCATTCGGCCTTGTACTTGTACAGCTGTTCGATACATATCGGCAACCTGCTGTCGCCATCGAACCGCGCCAAAAGTTCGCGGAGAACTTCGACTTTGACATCCGGGAAGAACTCGGCCAGGATTAACAAGTCCTTGTTCAAAGAGGCCGACACATCTTCCTCCCCGGCTCCTGTGAGAGACTCCTTGGAGCCTGCTCTGAATGGGTTCTTGCGCAGCACTTCGGAGAGGGTCGAGCCGGGAGATGTTGGGCGGGCGGTGGACGACGAGGCCCGATGGGTTGAGGTTGAGGTTGAGGTAGAGGGTTTGGCGGCGCGTTTAGATGAGCTCGCGTAAAGCCACATCACATTCAGCGAAGAGACTCGGCATGATCAAACAGGCGACATTAGGCGAAGAGGTGGACAAAACATTGCAGAGCAGTGGTCCTTGGTATGCACTCTGAAGCCGCAGGCGTGAGTTTTGAGGCTGACGAGACGATAATCGCAATCTGCTCCCCACCTGAAACCTGTGTCTCAGCAGACTCCAGAATTTCCGTACTCCCTACAGACAAAGTATTACTACAATTACCCAAGTCCTCCCAATCCACTAGGTACTATGATGCGCCTCTATCTGCCACTCCGTATAGTCACCCGTTGCTCCCGGTACCACGCTGCCTATCCACTGGGTGCCTAAAGAAGGGTTTACAACGTGCACCGTCAGCTCCACCAAAGTCTAGTCAAGGTCAGGACACGGGCCCAGATCCACGATTTCCCTGGCTGGATCTGCAGAGTTACCGTTGAGTACTCCGTACGTTGCTGAGATCGATGAGGTGGCTCTCAGCCAATATGTAGAGCCACAAGAAGAAGAAGGAGAAGGAGAAGAAGAAATACCGCTGCAGCTCTTGTCGAGCTACTAGCACCACCCTCAGCTTGTTACTCTGAGAAGACCTGCTTCTGTCTTTCCAGGAGTTCATGCTCCCAGACCTCTCTCCCCCTCGACCCTGACGTGGGTTCCGGTCTCCAGGGTTCCGGTGTCGAGATGGGTAGTTCGAAACTCCCCAGACGAGGGAGCGCAAAAGGGCTCGCATAGGGCGCAAACCCAGAAAATCCCATAATACGGAGTCCGGAGTATCCGTACTGAGAAGACTATCATCACATTAGAAGACGTACGGATGACAAGGCATGGGCAACCTTCTAAGGACTGAACAGAGCCTACTCTAGAGACTTATATAGAGCGGCAAGTCTCTTGTCCCAAAGCGTGTGAGGCTTAGGGGCTCTGAGCATTACCTGGCTAGGTGCCTGGTAGTGGTGGTAGTTAACAGAGTAATTAATTAATCAGTCTCAGTCTCCATCTTCCCCTTCATGGTCACGACTCACCTACCTACACCGTCGTCCTCCTCCTCCCTACCTAACCTCGTCTTCTTCGACCGCCCCCATGTCATGACCAGTTTGTCTCTATTGTGCTTGTGCATGTGCATAGCTTGATTCTGTCCTGCTGCAGGTAAATAGACTTTCACTAGATCGTTCTGAATGCAGCACACAGGTGAACCTGGTGTTGGAGTAGAGTTGCTCATTCATCCTTGCACATCGCGTCGAATCGAATCGAGTCTAAGAGCACACTGGACAAGCCCTCCCAACTGTTACACCGACCATCCTTTCTGACCTGTACTCAAGTGACAATAGATCAGCCTCAAGGGCAGCAGATCTCTCCACTTTCCGCGCACCATGACTCTAGAACCGTCCGTCATCCACCCCAGCACCTCCTCGAGAACAGGCACGTTCTACTTCGCCTTTGGAAGCAATCTATCGCCATACCAGATGTCTATCCGGCTTCGGCACAACCCTTCTTCGAGCATTCCTGTCGCCGTCGCTCGCCTCGATAGCCACGCCTGGATCATCTGCCAACGAGGGTATGCAAATGTGGTGGCCCTACCTCCGTCCAATGCCGCCACAGACGAGAACACCGTATGGGGGATAGTTTATAACATGGATCCTGTCGACGAAGCGAGATTGGACCAGTATGAAGGACACAACGAAGCAAGGAACCCCAGTCCCGAGCTCAACCCAGACCCCGCCACCCAGCAGATCAAACGGTATCTGCAGGGCGGCTGGGATTATAATAAGCACTACTTGCCGGTGGCTGTGACCAAGTGGTTGAGAGATCCCAACCAGTACGGAGTTGCTGTACCGGACTGGGATCGCTCTGGTGCTCACAATACCACAATCCGTGCCCTTGTATATGTCGATGAATTCCGCATCAAACCTGGAAAAATAGCACATGAATACATCGGCCGGATGAACAGAGCAATTGACGAATCTGTGCAGCTGGGCGTGCCGCAGTCCTGGGTGGATCATGTCATGCGCGAATTTATTCCCCCAGGCATTTATGTCGACAAGGAGGGATACGTCGGAGCGGCGGAGGGTTATGTTCAGGCCGAAGCGACGGAGGCTGATGATCATGTAAAAGAGCTCACGGTGAGACAACACGATTAACATGGGTCAAGGCTCCGGGGAAGTGAACACGATCCCCATTCGATTCTCGCGCCCCATTCTGGGCGAGTGTCAATTGAGACAGCATGCCATTTCTCGTATCAGATTCTGACCAATTCCATGATGTGGAGACCACCAGCCAGCCAGCCATTTATCCCTTGCTTACATTTGAGGAGAGGGCGGGATGAAGGATGCGTTGATCCCGCTCCAATACATATCCCTCTGGTGTCTCCCTTTCTATTAGCAGTCCGGATCAGCAACCCCTGTCCAGACTCCTTGGAGAGGCATGTGCCAACGGAGGACTGTACATCTGGCGCTTCAATAAGAGCTCTGATTCGACGCCGGTTGGCCAAACAACCTGTCAGAAGACAGACACGTCTCTTCCCTTTTCATTGGATGATGCATATGATTCAGCGACAATGACTGGCTGGACAGACAGATAACTCGACCAGGGCTTGATATACTAGTCGCTACAAGTCACTTGGTATCATGCGGCTCGCGATTGATCAGCCCACGGCCTTCATTCACAACTAACGTATCTCCGCCGGAGGCACACCTCCAACACGAGTGGGCAGCCTGGCCTGACCAACCACAGCTTGCAGAGCTCGGTCTCCTCCTGATCCGGGCCTAGGCAGCAAAGTTCGATTGGAAAGAGAAGCAATTCACAAGGTCCGGAGCACAGGGCACCATTCGCTGATATCCATGAAAAAGTGAAGCGAGCCCTTGTCGAAGCTCACCGCACCCGTAGACCCCGAAGATAATGATGCTTTTGAACCGCTTCGGATCGACCCCCCAAGCCCGCGCCGTCAATCGTCTGAGTCAACTAACGAAAGCCCGGTTTTCAGCTGGCCTCACGCATGGCCTGAGGACAACAGAGCTCCAGTCGTTGCTTAGCGAGGTGGAGCGCCATTCGTGAATAATCGAATCTCTCGCCAGATCGCCCTTCTCTGGCGAATCCGATAGAAATATGGGTTCTGCAATCCGGGGTCGGGCACGGCGAGCGATCAGATCTCTTAGGAAGAATGGTTGACAAGTTGAAATCTTGACTGTCCTAGTCTGTTCCCTCATCCCCCCCTGTCTTTGGCTGCTGGCGCATCGTGAAGGCTTCTTCTACAGCAGAGGTATAAATTCTCGAGTCCCTCCACGAATCTTGCTTCTTGCTTCTTCGCTCTTTCTGTAACACTCTGGTAGGGAGTCAAAGGCAAGTGCGAACTCGGCGGGATCTTTGATACTTTGTCAGACCTGCACTCACATTCTTCACACCACGTTGGCTTATCCCCACACTGCAACTATGCCTCCGCCTGCGTCGATGGCAGGCTACCGGGTCGGCTGGATCTGTCCGTTGTACACCGACATGCTGGCCGCCCGGGCGATGCTAGACGAAGACTATGGCATGATCCGTGGCCACGGACAGGACACGAACACATATGCGGTTGGGCGGATCCACGACCATTATGTGGTGATCGCTGGATTGCCAGCCGGCTTCGACGGGGCACTCACATCTGCGAGTGTGGTCAAAGACATACTCCGCACATTCCATGAGTTGCGATTCATGATGCTGGTGGGAATTGGCGCAGGGATTCCAAACCCGCCCGTCGTGGATATCCGTCTAGGAGACGTCGTCATTGGTCAACCCGCCGGGAGCGACGCTGGAGTGGTCCAGTTCAACCGGGGAAAGAACATACCAACCTCCAGGTTCGAGAGGAAGGGAATGCTCTTTCCGCCGTCGCATTCGTTGTTGACGGCCTTGACGGCCCAAAGAGCCGAGCACGAGCTCCACGGCTCTAGGAAGATATGTGATTTCGTCGCGGAGATGTTCAACCGCTATCCCAACCTCAAGCGCGATTTCTCCTATCCGGGGCTTATGTACGACCGCCTGTTCAGGCTCGACTATCATCACATCAAAGATCAACCAACCTGCCAATACTGCGTGCGTGAGGCCGAGGTCCCCCGTGAGGCACGCAGCAACACTGGCCCGGCAATCCATTACGGACTCATTGCTTCGGGCGATCAGATCATCAAAGACTCCTTCGTCAGGGAATTCATCCGCAGCTCATACGGCGCCATGTGTGTCGAGATGGAAGCGCCCGGCCTGATGCACAATTTTCCCGGCTTGATCATCAAAGGGATCAGTGACTACGCCGACAGCCACCGGAATGAGCGATGGCACAAATACGCGGCTGCTGCAGCCGCGGCGTGTACCAAAGAGTTGCTGCACTATGTCTCTTCCGTCAAGATCGAGCAGGAGGCCCCGATCCAGGCGATCATCGATGACGAGGGTAGTCAGTATTTGGAAAATTGATCAGGCACAAGGGAAGGGGACACAAGGGAAGGGGGCACAAGGGAAGGGGCCACCTACGGGGGCCAACCAAACAGTCGCAATCACTTGAAATTTTGCTGCAGCTACGTGTGTACGTACCTATTCACCCCGTTGAGACGAGGAGAAGTGTTCCAGGTTACGTTGTCCTCTCGCTATGACATCTAGTTTGTAAGCTGCAATGCTTATCATACCATGTTTTGTTCGTATAAGGATCCTTTCAATCTTTCTCTGATAATTATTGTCCTTTTCATTTTCTCAATACCATTTGGTGGTGGTGGTAGTAGTAGTAGTAGTAGTAGTAGTAGTAGTAGTAGTAGTAGTAGTAGTAGTAGTAGTAGTAGTAGTAGTAGTAGTAGTAGTAGTAGTAGTAGT